AAAAAAAAGAGAATTCACATTCAAAAACGGTAAATCGTTAAATTTTTAAATATTTTTTTATAATTATATTGTCAAGGATCCTGCTTTATAGATAGCTCGTCAAAATAGTTCTCTAGCATATATACATAAAATATACTCATTTATATCATGACAATACATAAATTAATAATTTTATTTTTTCATATGCCTCATCAGCCTTATACCTATATTATTTTTGCATAACTCTAATATCTCATGATTTGTAATGCATCGCCATTTGTTCCTCGCAATTTTTTTATATTAAACCTATGATTTACTTATTAAAAGTCAGCAGAATATCTATAAAATTATTTTTAAATTTTTTTAATATTATTTGAGTTTTGTGAAACAATAGAATCGAATAAAAATATATTATATAATAATAGATATAAGTTTTTATAATAAAAAAAAGAATATCTTTAAGAATAAGAGAAATTTGTGATTTATATACAAAAAAACTCAGATATCCTTATTTATTACCATGATTATTTCGACGTATAAGATTTGAAAAGAAATATAGAATCAAATAAAACTAATTTGAACAATAAATATTATATAATTTGGAATACGGAAAAATACATGTATTAATTTTAAATTAATAATTGTGAAATTAGATTTTAATAAATGTCTTGAAATTTTTAAATTTTAATTTGATTAAAATTAAAAATTCCTTAAGAATAATTAATAATCACGCACCAACCAAAAATGAGGTCTAAGAAAGGTATATAATTATAAAATATGTTTCTTTAGGATAAATTAACATATATGTGTATGTATATAATTTATTTTTTATTGGGGGATTTTATTTTGTATCGGGCATAAATTTTCTTTAGGAATTTATAAAATAAGTAATCTATATTATAGAAAATAATATCTCATTGAAAAAATGTTGGTATTTTTAAAATAATATCAATCCTCAATTTTGATCTATTTTTTTTTTAAAAAAAAATCGTGACTATAGGGTATTATTACGATAAAATGTGAAACAATTTAATGGATAACATTTGATTTTAATATGAAATAATTTTTAAAAGTATACTAAATGTAATGAATAACATTACATGTCAAAACTTTAAATACTCGCCTATTTTTGTTAAAAGTTCTATTTGGATCAATTTTTAAAAAGATTAAGATTTTAGCCAAAATGATATTATTTGTGTGGCATTTAGTTGATATGAAGGTTTTAACATCTATATGAAAAATCTCTAGCGACTAAAATCATAATTGATATTGCATTTTACGTGATACGTGATATATAGCGCTTATGCCCTCTAGTGTTGAAATGCAACAGAGCTACGCTAGGTTTTCCTCATTTTCACCTTATTGGAACAATTAAATTTGGGTATAAAAGTTAAAATATGAGGAGCCCTCCACACGTTTGTGGGCAAGCCGCACGTACTTGTAGGCGCAACATTTCGAAAAATATTACTTAAACCTCTATAGGCTTATATAAAAGGGAATGGGACAAAAAAAGAGCCTATATCCAATAACTACAGTGAAAGTTAATTACGTTGTGGTGGGTTGAGGACAATTTACCATTAAAAATATTTACTATATTAAAACAATTTTTAGTAAGGACATATAAAATATACTTATGAGAGGATTTGAATGTATGATGGTATTGGAAATGTTTGATAATGATGAGTTTAAATTTTTTGAAATTTATTACGATGGTAAATATACTATAGGATTAATGGGTGATGATAATGTAACATACATTATGAGAATGTATTTTTGTATTTATTGAAGGTAACTTTTCTTGATGCGAAACAGTTTTTTAATGGATCTTTTATTGTTGTTCAGTTTAATGAATTGTTTCATGTTAACGTTTAGATCCATTATATCTTTTATAGTTTTATAGTACCATAATGTTTTGTATTTTGTGTACTGTTTGCCTTTATATGAGTACAGCCATGTTATGGCATCATGGACTAAATTATTATCAGAGTTTCTTATTACATGGCCTAATAACTGAATCCGTCTTTTCTTAAGAGTAATATTCACTGGTGTGTGAGTAGACTTCCTCCAAAGATTCGAGTTAGAGATTACTCTTGGATAGAAAATCCCGTGTATCGTACGAAGACAATTATTTATAAAAGATTGAAGCCGTCTAATCTCTGTTTTGTTTGCCTCCCAGATATCTCCACCATATAATGCAATTGGAACAATCAACGAGTTGAATATTCTCAATCTAGTAAACACTGAAATTTCGCTAGCTTTCCATATTTTCATATATCTGTTGAAAGCACCTCTAGCTTTCTGTATTCTCATCTTCATCTCATCTTCATCTCATCTTTACAACTTCCTTTGTTATCCAAGATTACCCCTAAGTATTTTATATTCTCTACTATTTTCACTGTATTCCCTCCAACTGTAAAATCTTGAATTGAAGGCGCATTTGGGGAGGGAAGAATAACCGTTTTGTTAAAGTTGATCCTAAGTCCAACTCTATAGCTTACTGTCTCAATTAGATAAAGTAGATTTTTGATCTCTTCAATGCTTTTCGAAATCACTACAATATCATCTGCATAGGATATTATCCTATTAACAAAAAAAATTTTCTCAACAGATCCTATGTCTACTAGATCTGCAGCTCCCAATACTTCTTTTATTATTTTATTGATGATTATGTTAAACAGGAGAGGTGAGAGGGTACAGCCTTGTTTTACCCCTTTTTAATCCTGAAAAAGGGAGAGATTTTATTATTTATTTTGAAACAAGCGAATAAATTCGAATAGTGATTTTTTAAGATACGAATTATCTTGGTTTCAATACCACATTCTACAAGCGTTTCCCACAACGCTTCATGATTAACATTATCGAATGCTCTACTGAAATCAATAAATGTGTAAAATGACGGAATCTTATATTTATAACACTTTTGCATTATTATCTTCAGAGATAATATGGGTTCTAGTATATTTTTATTTGGCCTGTAAGCACAAATATATTTAGAAAAAAGATTAGGCGTCGAATGAACAATCTTATTCTTTATAAGTACCATAAATATCTTTGACACACAAGATGTTAAAGCACACGCCCGATAATCAGTGAATTTCAGAGGGTTTGCAGTTTTGGGAAAATTGCATATAAGGGACTTGTTCCATTCAGTAGGGGTACTTCCGTTTTCCCATATTTTATTGAATAGGGCTAGTAGGAAAGAAGATGTCGTTCTAGGTGCAATCTTCAGATGTTCCGCCGTAATGTTGTCAAGCCCCGGAGCTTTATTGTTTCGTAATTTCTTTATTACATTCATAATTTCCATTACAGTGAACCCAGACTGGGGTGAAGCCATATTTATATTTACACTTGTTGCTCTAGTTACTTTACGTCCATCGAAAACAGTAATATAGTAATCGAGCCACAGCGCCATCTGTTCATCTTGATCAATTATTATTTTACCATCATTTAATACTATTGAGGGTACCTTCTGAAAACTGTTAGGTTTACAAAAATATTTTAATTTCTTATATGCATCATGTAGTCTATTTTCTCTTACATCTTTGTCAATATCAAACGCTTTCTTCGCACTATAAACCCGTCTATCTCTTCGCAGTAATCTTTGTATCATCTTCCAAAGATCCTTATTAGAGCTAAACGCTGTTCTTAACTGGTTTATTTTCTCCAGGGTATCATTCGCCATCCACTCCTTCCTATGGATAAGACTTACATCTGGCAATACTTTGTATGTATCGACTAGGGCATCTTTAAAAAGATTCCAGCTTTTCTCAACACTTGCAAGCCTAATAGTGTTCAAATAGCTGGCTTCTTTCCCACTTAATATCTCATCAAAATATCTTGCATCATCTAATGTTCTTATTTTACTCAGTTTGCGAGTTATTACATTACACAAGGGAGTAGCGCTAGATCTAGTAGAAGATTGTCTATTTCCGTTATGATACCCCCATAAATTTTTAACTATAATAATTGCTCTAAGCAGTCTATGATCTGACAAGTTCATATTAGTTAGGGCTTTAACATCCACGAACCAACGATGAATATTCGAGATGAAGAAGTCAATTTGTGATTGCTGCTGAGCTCTTACAAAGGTATACGTATTCCTATCACTATGACTAAAAAAAGTGTTTTCAATTTTGAAATCTTTATTACAACAGAAGTCAAGTAATTTCTTACTGTATTCGCTATTACTCTGTACTAAGGTAGCGTGCCCAGTGACATTTCTATTCATATATTCCACTTCTCTGCCTATATCCATATTTAGATCTCCCAATATTATGATGTTATATCTCTCTGGTAAGGAGTGTATTATGTTGATCATTATATCTACAAAGGCTAATCGCTCATTCCTTTTAGGTGGGACATAGAAATTTACGATTATTGTAGGCTTGAAGTTCGTATGTAGGTATAGGAGCCCACACCTTTCCGAGATGGGTACAAATTTCATGACATATTTCTGCATTCTTTTATTAATGAGGAAAGCAATCCCTGACCAGCTATTGGAGGTAGTACCCGAGCAAAACATCTTATATTCATTGAAATTAGCCGTAATATCTCCAGGGTAGTGGGTTTCCTGGATGCCCAAAATGTCAATTTTCTCCGCCACTAACATCCTTAAAAGAACTGCCAGTTTATTCATCAATCCATTAATGTTAAGAGATGCTATTAGGATCTTGCCTGTAAACTTGTTCTCCATATCTCTGTGCCCGTTTGGAAATCGAGTTGACATAGACATTTAAATAGAAGAATATTTAAAATTTGAAGGGAAATAAAATTCAACTTAGCATATAACAAATGTATGAGATAATTAAAATCATAATTTTGGATATATTCAAATATTTAATTAAAATTAAATAGTAATTTTATACAGATTCGATATGTTTTTTTTATGATTTTATCTGAATATTAATTCTACATTATCATACTATTTAGTTAATAAAAGCATAGACGCAAGTAATATAAAACATTTGTCTATTGTTTAACAAGTCATATGACATGTGATAATGTCAATCGTCATATTTTAGCGAAAATCAACTATATTCATATAATTTTTAAAATATAAACATGAATAAAAACTTTCTTCTTATAAAACAATGAATTTGAGGCCCGAAGAACTTAATTTTTTGGTGTTTAGATACCTACAAGAATCAGGTTAATAATATATTCCATAGATCCTAAATATAAAGCTTATATTTTTAAGGATTTCTTCATTCTGCTTATGTCTTTGGTGAAGAAAGTAAGATAACACGAACATCTTTTAACGGAAAAATTATTCCTACAGGCTCATTGGTTAAACTTATATATAAAGGGTTATTATATACAGAAGTGGAAAATAATATTAATGAGGTATTACAAATTTTTATTACCAATATAAATTTATTTTGATTGACAAGGATGGTACTGAAAAAAATAGTATAATACCAGAACTGACATTGTTAGAGGCAATATCATTAAAAGTTATTGCAAATAATGCGAATATCAACAATCAAAACACAAATGTAAAAACTGGAGTTCCAACTACCCATATCAATTTGAACTCAAACCTAAATGTATCTGAAAAGTCTAATAATAATATAAAAACTAGCAATTACTTTAATACACACAATCCTAATAATGACAATGGTGCAGTTGTTGAAGCAATTGAAACTAATGCCAATAATGGTATATATTAATAGATATTTTATTAGCCAATTTAATAGAAATATATCAATTTTTAAAATGTTTATAATTAGACCTATCATCACTCATATTTTAATTTTACTAACTTATATTACCTTTAAATAATATTGCCAATTTTATATAGTATTTATAAATAAATAAGATAATACACAAATGGAAGTTGTATCAACCAATTGTATTATCTCCAAAGCCAAAGAAAATGAAACAAGTATTATCACCTCACTTCCTCTAACACCTACAATTGAAAATTCATCAAACAGTTTAAAGTATTATAATCAGAATTTAATATTTACTCTAAATTTAAAAAAAGAAGATTATTTGCACAAAAATTGTGAAATATTGTTTTACAAAAAAAATGTAATTTTTAGGAAGCATTTAAAAAATTTTTTTTTTTATTTCATACAGCCATCAACCCTTCCATCTCAAAATGTCTGCTGGTAGTAATATTCCATTAACCGTATCTTCCACCATTTTGTCTCCAAATAACGTGATCACCCTGAAAGGCCACTTGTCTGAAGTTTTTATATGTGCGTGGAACCCAGTCAGAGACCTATTAGCATCTGGGTAATTCTATTTTTAAAAAAAATACTCATTAACTACTAGTGGTTACAAATTTAAGTGTTTTTTCGTTTTTTCTGGCTTTTTCAAATGTTATAGCCCATATTGGTAGACGCTTCAAAAATGTTTTTTGCTTCATCATTTTACAATAAGCGTTCTATAGAAAAACGATATGCCGCTAAATTAGTGTTGTTAAACGGCTCGTTTTGAGTCGATATTTAAAAACGGCAAACTCAATATTCACCCAGAAAAATGTTACGCAATCCTGAAGACATAGACATATATTATCAAAATCTCGAGGATTAGGCAATTTATTTCTGGCGAAAGTATTGAGTTAGCCGTTTTGAATTGTTGGCTCAAAACGAGCCGTTTAACAACACTAATGCTAAATTTGTGCACAATTTTTGATGGGTTCTATTAACCTATAAGTAGTTTTGAAAAGCGGCTCGATTCGAATCGATTTTTAAAAAAGTCAAAATGTTTTGACTTCAAAATTTGCCAGATCCGTTAAGATGGAAGGTGTCATAATGGACACACTATGAACATATATATCATTTTTATTGAGATTGACTTTTGATGGAACGGATGTAAAAAACGGATCCGTCTCCACTTTGAATGCAGCCCTAAACTTTATATCCATCTATGAGCATAATCTTTAAGCTTACATGATATATTTTTGAATTGAATAAAATAATTAAGTTGGCCGTTTTCTAAAAACGGCTTTAATAGGCCGTTTAACAACACCATATAAGTATCCCCTCCCTCCTTAATGTTATTATTTTAAAAAAGTCGGATTAGTAAGATTGGACCATAACCTAAAGATTTTTATCAGTGTTATACCATTAGTTTAAGTTTATAAATTTCATAGTGTTTATATTTATATTTACTATTTTTATTAAATCTTGAGTGTTAAGAAAATACCTAAACAAAATCATAATTCCAAAAGCGTTGCTTGGAGCACGTTTACTAATTGGGCTTCGTTAACATTTTTTTTATTATAAAATATATTTTTTCGATTATATTTCTTTAAAAAAATAAATCAATTACAAAGTTCTGGGGACTCGACTGCCAGAATATGGGACTTGTCGAACTTGAATAATTCGATTCCAACTACCAATAACCCAGCTAACCTGAGCACCACATACAATTTTGACAAACACCTGATTCTCAGGCATTGCATTCAGAGGGGTGGCTCGGAATTCATGAGCAATAAGGACGTCACCTCCCTCGATTGGAACGTGAATATTAATTTTTTTCTTCTTACAACTGATAATAATTTCTTAAAATCATTGCAAATATGAGTGGCAGGATCCTCGGTATAACATGACACCTAAACTATCGCGATATAATGGCTGAATATAGAATTTGCAGCTACCATTTTGGAAAATGGCTAGGACCGGTTCAGACTACTCCATAATAAAAAAAAAATTAAAAAAATGGCATTTAGACCGAATTTAGTGTATACACTGATTTCGGGATCCATTTGGCTTGGTCACTTAAAAAAAATTTCGGTTTGTGGTAGCTTCTGGACAGATCCTGGTTGACTCTAATTACATAAACCAATTCAGTATTGGTATTGAGCCAATACAGTATTGGTATTGAGATATCTATTCACATATACTTTTGATTTTAACAAATCCCATTGCTCGATACTTCAAAAAATGATATTTAACTCTCGTTAATTTTTTTTTAAAAGTATGTTATAGCCTACATTTTAACAAATATCTAAACCGATGAGAAAGAAAAGAAGGTGCTGTTAATCCCCCCCTATAATAAATACATTTCGTCAATTGAGTATTATAGTGATCTATATCAACTTACCTTTTATTGGCGAAATGCTTTTTGCTTTATAAATGAATTCATTAGTTACTTATATTCATATATATCCACAATTGTAAAAAAAATTAATTGTTAGAATATAATTGAGAAATTTCCATTTTATTTGCTTTATTTACATCGTGATTTCCTATTTAAATCAGGGACCCAGAGTGAATCAGAATGAATCGCGAAACCTTTACAAATAGCTAAACCGTAACTGAACAGATATAATTATTTTTTGAAGGAGTAAAAGAAACCCCTTTATAAAAAAGATAAATAAACATTCTTTTCCTTGTGGTGTATTACAGACCTTATTTGCGTCGTTATTTGTAATTATTAAATAATCAAAATATTTGTTTAATACCCCATAAGAAGTCTATTAAATTTTATTTTCAGTGTGGCCTAAATTGATCCACAATCTTTTACCTGCTTCATATAATACATGAGAATTCCTATTTTTTTTTCTATTTTTAGTATGCAAAATATCTAAATAACCAAATTTAATTTATTATAAAACAAAATCATTAGTTTTTTATATATATATATTGGAATCAACAAAAAAATTTGAATATCCAGAATTATATAAACTTGTTCTTATAGTACTTGCCGTTCCCGCAATACAAGTTTCTGTTGAAAGAGCCTTTTCGGGGCTAAAAGTCAAATATGAATCCACTTTTATTAGAAAAAAAAAATTACTTATACGTTTCAAATAATATATTTAAAAATGAGTTATGATTCATATATTTTTTATGTATTATTCATAGATATACTTTAATAATCAAAATAAATGAATTTCATTCTATTTTATGAATAATAAACAATATAATAACTTAATGTGATTGCAAAATATATTTTTATAAATAATGTTCATATTTAAAATGATTATACATACGATGGCGTTGCTTCTAAAAAAAAATATAAAAAATTATTTTTTTTTACAATAATTTTCAAACCGTAATGAACCTTTATAAAACCTTTACGCTTAACCGAACCGAAACTTTGTAAAAAAAAATTTTCAACCGAATCCGAAACTGAACCGACATTTTAGAAACGATTTCTCAAGAACCTATCCGAACTCGAACGTTATAACTAAAGGTTCGGGTCCCGGTTTAAAATACCGAGAAATCCCTAGTACACATGCTTGGTATCAGTGATATTCCTCGATAGTGGCATTTTTTTTAAGCCAAAATAATATTACACTAGCTTCGAGATTTCGTTAAATAAGATGTCGAACCCTTTCTTGCCCATCTATGAGAAAAATAAAAAATCTTCAGAGCTGGCATTTTTTTCGACTAAAATATCTGGTTAGTCGTACTACTCGATATCATGTTGATATTAGTATCGATTTTTTATCCGATAATTTTTTGGCATTTTGAATTTAGCTCGAATGTATACGGTATGAAAGCGGGAGCATAAATAATGTGCCATTACAGTTAACGCTTATCATTCGGACTCGGGCCTGTCACTGTTAAATAATTTCGTATTAGTCCCGTGTACCGGTCGAACATATGGGCCAGGGTCACTTCCTCTAAATAATAATCGGTAAAATTTTTTTAAAAAATAAAATTTTAGTCAGATGGAACCTGCTTGGCCACGGGATCGTATGATGGATACGCCAGAATATGGACTTCCGATGGTATCAATTCATTCCAATTTTTTTTCGAACATTTTAGCTTTTAACCATTGAATTTGTTATTTTTTAAAAAATAATTTACTAACACTAGGAAAATCGAAAACGTAATATCCCTAGTTCTATTATTTATTTTGTGGTTTTGAATTTTTTTCAGGGCTGTGAGCCTACCTTCCAACAAAAGGGGGGGGGGGAGGGAGGTAGTTCTTGTTCCGTGAAATATCTATGAACTAATTTCGGGTTCTAGTGGATTCAGAATTCCTGGTCCAGAGAAATAAAGACTTAGAAAATTTAGTAAAAAAAAATATAAAAAATAATATTCTATTTTGTTATTTAAAATTTTTACGATGTTAAAATCAGGGACCCGGAGCGAACCGCGAAACCGTTATAAACCCTTATAAATATCTGAAGCGTAACGAACCGAAAATATTTTTTAAAGGAGGAAAAAAAAAGGTTAAACTAGTTTAAATCAAAATAAAATTTATAATCCTAATTTTTTTACATTATTTTCCTTGTGGTGTTATATTTAACCATATCTCCGTCGTTATTTATAATTATTAAATGATCAAAATATATGTGTGATCTGATATCCATATTTATATCCTTAATAAAGTATGTATTAATTTTTTTTTAACTATTACTTAAATTTATCCACAATCTTTTAATTATGCAAAATGCCTAAATAACCAATTTGTAGATTTTTGATTCAGTTGTATTTATTAAATTAATTTAAGTATAATATCACCACTACCCATGAGTGGTTTGATCTATGACATATATAATACCTAGACTGACGATTCATTCATTAAAGTGTACATCAATGCAAATCAGCCGGAGACGCCATCTTGGTTACACTAATCATTATTAAAATTTTAAACGAGAGCCTAATTTGTTCCTATATCTGATGTAAACTTTATTAAAAAATTACCGGATCATCGAGATAACAAGAGAGCAAGTTATCAATTTATTAGTTATTAACATGAGAATAATTACTATACGTGTTACCAAAATGGCGGGACCAGCTGATTTGCTTTTAACGACGCTTAAAAATGCATTTAAATGAATGAATCTATATATGTCATTGGGTTTGATAGAAGGGTCATGGTTCCCATATGAATTTCCAAACTTATAAGTCCGTAATTTTATATATTATTTACTGAATTTTGGCAATATGACATGAGTTTATTTCAAAGAATTAGTAGTTATTTATGGCCTTTATTATAAATAATAGAATTTGTGTTACAATTATAAATTCTAATTAGTTTATCAAATAATTTTAATATATTTGTTCTGACCTCATTTTTTTTGTATTTATTTCTTATAGTATTAGGACCATATTCCTATTTTTTTATGTTTTAGTATGCAAAATATCAAAATAGCCAATTTTTGATTAAAGTTGCATTTATTTAATTAAGTATAATATCACCACCCACCCTTGAATTTGATAGTAGGCCATTATTTAAATTTTCAAAATTACCAAATTTTTGAGGGTTATGTATTATTTATAAAAGTATTACTTATCAAAGTTTGTATCAAATGGTTGATAAATTTGATGTAAATAATGCCTTAGTGACAATTTTATTGTTGGTCCTACGTATGTGTTATATATTATGATAAAATTTTTGTTTGAAAAATGTACTCTGGTTTTTAAGTAATAATATCCATATTATTTGGCTTTACAACTTGGCAGTGTTATCAATTTCAATTTTACAATATTTGTTTGCACAAATCTCATATTTTTTTTTATTGTATTTACGTTAATAATTAATAAAAATTTATTTTATTTGCTTTTAGAATTTAAATGGTCCGTCCATAAGTTAACCCAGTCCGTTCATTTTTTTTAGTTATACTATTCTCTTAAATGAATCAACATGTATAATAGATAATTGCATAATAATAATTAAAGGTGACCTTGCAGCTAATTTAGAAAGGCATCATTCTAAAGTATATGAATCCCTAACTACAAAAAAAATTAAAGCTCTCCAAGCCTTTGAAATCAATATCAAAGCCTAGCCATAATATTTCTATTGAGCAGGCATTAAATTCTATCATCAAAATTAAAATGGATAAAAACACATTAGTAAATTCTTCCACAGAACTTATTAATGTACATGGCCGGCCATTTAGCTTATTAGATGATTTCGCTTTTAAAAAAAAATTATCAACCCAATTATAACAGGACTTGGGGGATAATTTTTCTATAAATTCAGAAAATATGAAGAATAATATTAATAAAATGGCCAGCAAATGCCTTGCTAATATATATAAAAAAAGAAATCTTCAATAAAATGGTTTCTGTAAAATTAGATATTGCGACAAGGTATGACAAAGCTATTCTAGGCGTCAATATTCAATTTGGTATCTGATGGGAAAATACCAGAGTTGTTAAAAGATACTTTTTAAATGGATCTAGATACAGATACATCGTCCAAAATAATATCTTGATACCGATATTTTAATAAAAAATCTATCTAGATACAGATATAGATACCACATTTTTATATCTAGATACAGGATCTAGATAGTTGTATCTAGATCTTTTAACACTGAAAAATACAATTACGATCATCATGCATGAGAGAACATACTGAAAAGCATACCTCGGGAAATATCAAAAAAGTTATTTTAGAAATATTTAAAACACACAACATACATATTAACAAGATATGTAGCATAACTACTGATAATGCATCCAATATGGATAAGTTAATCAAGCTTTTAATAGAGCATGAAGATATTGACGACAAAGATTATGATATTATCACATGAGAATAGTTTATCAAATATTAGAAATATCGACGACATTGATGATAGTGATAATATTATATTTAGGATGACTGGATCCTTGCTAGTTGGAGTTCGATGTGTCTCCCATACATTTCATTTAGCGATCAATGATTGCATCAAAACATGACCTAATGAACTATTGAGATCATTGTGCAGAAAAATTCGCACTCATACTTCATTAAATATCTTCTTAACCCACTTTAATCTTAAAAAACTCCTTATTGATTGCTGTACCAGGTGGAATTCTATCTACCTCGTGCTAGGAAGATTGGTAGAATTAAAAGTTTATTGTGATGAAATGGAAATGGATCAAAGCATTGATCTATGTGAAGATGACTGATAAATAATTAAAGATATTTTGAAAGCTATGAAACCAACTATTACGTTGTGCCGTATAAGTCCGAATAGAAAGCAAAACTCCGAGTATAATAATTTTATTGAATTTCCCACACAAAAAAAATGAATAATTTTATTTCAAAATTTATATATACTAATACAACCAAAAAAAAAATATATTAAAAACAAAAATAAAATAGTTAATAATAATAAATACAATATTTCGCTTCCCTTTTATAGGGAAGCGCATAAAATACAATTTCATCATGATTCAACAAAACTTAATTTCTATATCTAAAAATAAAATAAAACGAAATATTAAAATAAGGTTTAATAATGAACCGGCACAATTTATTTATTAATATTCACGCAATAAATATTTTCAAAATTATCAAATATGTCACTCATTTATGACATTTCCCCCCTTTATCAGACCTCGTTGGCTCCAACAACTGCCTATATTCCTCTTCTCCTACACGTAACACTGGCGTGTCTGGCGCCATTCGTTGATATGATTGTATCGCTCTGCTATCGGAAGAGGCTGAGGTTGGCTCCAACTCTTTTCGGGTTCGCCCTCCCACCGTTTCATACCGCTCCCTGGGACACCACCGGCGGATATGTCCCGCCGTTCCACAACCATAACATATAACCCGGTCTTTTTCTTCACGTATTGTTTCCCTTGAGCGCTCCAGTGGTCTTCTTTCCTTCTCAATTGATCTCGTGCCTTCCTGTGCTAGAGCCCTCCATTCACTAGCGAGTGGTTCTACATCCGCGCTGATTATCGTATTACGCATCAAATGAGTACCAAGGTCTACATACTTTTCTCAGTACTTCTCTTTATTACATCATCCCATCCACCTATTCCCATTATTCATACCCATTCTATTCCTGCCTCCGCCCCTCCGTTTACAACAAGAACCTTCAACTATTTTCGCTTCAATATTATTCCGCCGCTTATTCCTTCTTCGTTACCGGTTTATTCCACCTACTATATTTCGAAAATTTATTTTACTTAATATACACTTTCAAAACCCTTTTCCCTTTACATTATTTTATTTAACCTAAACTTCCAAAAAATATTTTTTTTAATAATTTTATTTCTCCTTAATTTATTTAATTCAACATTTTTTTAAACATTTCTTTAATATTTATTTCAGCTCCACCAAATTTCACAAAAAAAAACAATTCAAAAAAAAACAATTTTCCTTTTACTATTTTACTCTGATACATTATAATTTTTCTTTACAATTTGACTCGATCATACTTTGACTTATATTCCCACCTTATATATATATACCCCTCTTTATATCATACTTCCCCTTTCCCTTCCGCCTTTCGGAACGACCACCTACACCACCCCCGTGACCTTGACCTATATATATTTTTTCTTAACTTCGGACCTCTCGTTGACCTCTTGCCCCTGTCACTTTCGCCCCGCTTCCTTTCCTCTGCGTATCTGATCTTCATGTCTCACACCAACCTTACCATCCTGAAAACGGACCCGACTTAACTTTTTTCCCACCTTTTCCATCACAACTCCGGCTCGCCATTTCTCCTTTTCACCATATACCCTCGCCCACACCGACTGTCCCACCATAAACTTTGCTAGTCCCTCCTCCTCCCGTTCTCTCCTCGGACCCTCAGACTCTGGCCTCAGAGCATCTAACCCAATCCTCGTTCTGCGCCCTAAAAACTTCTCTGCTGGAGACAAATCCTCTCCCCTCCTACTATTATTATAATACATCACCGACGTCCATACTTCTCCTTTCCCATACTTTGCCTTTCGTAACCAATCTTTCACCAACCCCACCATCCGCTCTGCCTGCCCATTGGAGCTTGGGTGGTATGGAGGAGATAAAATATGCCGTATCCTATTTTCTTTGCAAAATTTCGCAAACTCTGCACTACTAAACGCTGGTCCACCGTCGGACACGATTGATTTAGCCACTCCAAACTTTGCCCACAAATTCTTCAATTTTCTGACCACTACTTGCCCCGTCAACCCTCCTACAACTTCAAACTCCACCCATTTAGAAAATGCATCAACCACTAGAAAATAATCCTTTTTTTCGTACTCGAAGAAATCGACATGAACCCTCTCCCATGGCTCCGTTGTTTTCGGCCAAGTCCCTTCTCTATCTCTTGCTGGCATCCTGGCCCAAGTATTGCATACTACACATTGTCTCGCTAGTTCCTCAATCTCCACATTCATCCTCGGCCACCATACATATTCTCGTCCCCATTGTTTCATACGCTCCATTCCCTGATGACCTGCATGCATTGTTAACACCATTCCTCTCAACTTCCCAGGTATCACTGCCCTATTTCCCCGGACTACACATTACGAGATCAATTGAGGAGGAAAGAAGACCACTGGAGCGCTCAAGGGAAACAATACGTGAAGAAAAAGACCGGGTTATATGTTATGGTTGTGGAACGGCGGGACATATCCGCCGGTGGTGTCCCAGGGAGCGGTATGAAACGGTGGGAGGGCGAACCCGAAAAGAGTTGGAGCCAACCTCAGCCTCTTCCGATAGCAGAGCGATACAATCATATCAACGAATGGCGCCAGACACGCCAGTGTTACGTGTAGGAGAAGAGGAATATAGGCAGTTGTTGGAGCCAACGAGGTCTGATAAAGGGGGGAAATGTCATAAATGAGTGACATATTTGATAATTTTGAAAATATTTATTGCGTGAATATTAATAAATAAATTGTGCCGGTTCATTATTAAACCTTATTTTAATATTTCGTTTTATTTTATTTTTAGATATAGAAATTAAGTTTTGTTGAATCATGATGAAATTGTATTTTATGCGCTTCCCTATAAAAGGGAAGCGAAATATTGTATTTATTATTATTAACTATTTTATTTTTGTTTTTAATATATTTTTTTTTTAATTCACTCTTCCCTGCCAACAAAATACAACATTATAATACAAAAAACATTATAATACAAATCACTCAACCCTAACCCCGTTATCTTTTTTTACTATTACTTTTTTTTTTAAAATTAATTTTTACTTTAGTTTTTTGGTCACGGCACCAACTATTACGTTGTGCCGTATAAGTCCGAATAGAAAGCAAAACTCCGAGTATAATAATTTTATTGAATTTCCCACACAAAAAAAATGAATAATTTTATTTCAAAATTTATATATACTATTACAACCAAAAAAAAAATATATTAAAAACAAAAATAAAATAGTTAATAATAATAAATACAATATTTCGCTTCCCTTTTATAAGGAAGCGCATAAAATACAATTTCATCATGATTCAACAAAACTTAATTTCTATATCTAAAAATAAAATAAAACGAAATATTAAAATAAGGTTTAATAATGAACCGGCACAATTTATTTATTAATATTCACGTAATAAATATTTTCAAAATTATCAAATATGTCACTCATTTATGACACCAACTTTTATAATTGACAAAAATTCTTCAAACAATTAACATTGGGTGACTTATATGATGCTTGGCTAAATTGTCTAATAGAAACACAAAAGGTACAAAAACCTTTTCAACATGTACCAAGGCAAGAGAGGCGAATATTAGACCTTTTGTGTAGCCTTATATATGGACCCACGTTATCAGGTAAATGCTGACAGAAGATGAAAAATTGACTGCTAAAGATCATTTAAATAAAACATGGAAAGCAATTCAGGTCCACATATTTTATTTAGCCTTATTTTAATTAATGTCCGGATTTATTTTGATAGTTATTTTTCATTTAAAATTTATATGCCTTGGAAAATAATGATGATAGCTTAGAAATGTATATATCGCAATCTACCTCTAGCTCCAAAGATTTTAAAGCACATGATGAGTTATAAAAGCTTCTGATAGCCCCGTGAGTCGAAATTTAAAAAAGCTACTTCAAATGCACACAAAGAACAATAATATTAGAAATATTATTGATTCGTTCGAGGGTGTTGAAAGGATCGACAAAAAAAATAATCAGTTTTCATATTTTGGGAATCGAAAAAATTTGAATGTCCAGAATTGTATAAATTTGCTCTTATAGCACTGGCAGTTCCCGCAACCAGGGACTCCAACCGTTATATATAACGGTTCAGTTTGGTTACAGTTCAGTATGTAAAAAATTATAATGGCTACGTTTTGATTAAGGTTCTTAAGAATAAATTTATATGTTCGGTTCAGCTAATTATAAAGGTTCATTCCGGTTAGAAATTTTTTTTTATTGAAGCAACATCATCATATAATGATTTTAATTATAAATTATTTAAAAATTTTGCCATCACTAATTTATTTTTTTATTATAAGCATATACGAATTATATATAAAAAAAATATGTGATTCAAAATAACTTATTTTTAAATAATTTTGAACGTATAAGTAATATATTTTCTAATATAAATGAATTCATATTTGTTCGTTGGGGCGATAACACGAATTTTGGCCCCGAAAAGGCCCTTTCTACAGAAACTTGGGTTGCGGGAACTGCCAGTGCTATAAGAGCAAGTTTATACAATTCTGAAATATTCAAATTTTTTCGATTCCCAAAATATAAAAAACTGATGATTTTTTTTTTGTCGATCCTTTCAACACCCTCAAACGAATCAATAATATTTCTAATATTATGTTCCTTGTGCGCATTTGAAGTAGCTTTTTTCACGGGGCTATCAGAAGCTTTTCTAATTCATCATCTGCTTTATGATCTTTGGAGCTAGAGGTAGATTGCGATACATCCATTTCTAAGCTATCATCATTTTCTAAGGCCTACATATTTTAAATGAAAAATAACTATTAAAATAAATCCGGACATTGATCAAAATAAGGCAAAATAGACCTGAATTGCTTTCCATGTTTTATTTAAATGATTTTTAGCAGTCAATTTTTCATCTTCTGTCAGCAATATCTGATAACGTGGGTCCATATATAAGGCTTCACAAAAGGCTTCATTTCTAATATTCGTCTCTCTTGCCTTGATTCATGTTGAAAGGTGCTGGGAAAAAGGTGTTTGTACATTTTGTGTTTCTATTAGACAATTTAGCCAAGCAGCATAAAAATCGCCCAACGTTAATTGTTCAGTTTGAAGAATTTTTGTCAATATAAAAGATACTAAATATAACAAAATAATTACACGAAAAAGATCCAAAAATGTTTTTTTTAAAAATTAATATATAAATTTCAGCGAAACATTGAGGGTTCGGGTTCTAGTCACTGGTTAAAATTAAATTTTGGAATTTTTTTAAAAGCGCATTGCAACTCGTTTAAATAAAGCTTATTTTTACCTTATGATTTTGTTATATTATTATATATATATATATAAAATACAAAAATAATATGATTGGTAAAATTTAAAATTAAAAAATTTTTTTTTACATTTATAATTAAAAAGGATTTCCACGAAAAAAAAAAAAGTTTTTATATTTGTAAAATAGAAAAAGAAAATAAATAATATTGTTTTTTAAAATATAATTTACACGTTTTTTATATATTTCAATTTTAATATAGTTTTTATATACGCTATTTTTAAATATATACTTTAAATAAAAAATTTGATAATAAAAGTTATTCGATCTTGAACCCTAAATTTTTAGGAAAGGGTTCTGGTTACGGTTCGCTAAAATATCTAGGGTTCGGGTTTCGGTTCGCTAAAATATCTAGGGTTCGGGTTTCGGTTCGCTAAAATATCTAGGGTTCGGGTTTCGGTTCGCTAAAATATCTAGGGTTCGGGTTTCGGTTCGCTAAAATATCTAGGGTTCGGGTTTCGGTTCGCTAAAATATCTAGGGTTCGGGTTTCGGTTCGCTAAAATATCTAGGGTTCGGGTTTCGGTTCGCTAAAATATCTAGGGTTCGGGTTTCGGTTCGCTAAAATATCTAGGGTTCGGGTTATGATACCCAAACCTATTTTTTTATGGTTAATTGAAGTTTCATATATATCATATAATGGATGTGGATTAACTTGAGATTTGAAAAAGAATGTATCTTATTAAAAATTTCATATCTTATATTTCTGCCCTATGATTAGGTTGCACTGCAACTCGTTACTTTTCAAAAGTTACTTCTTATTGGTATTTTTATTTTTTTGGTTCTCAGCTCTTGAAGTTATAACTTTTTTTTTCATAAATCATTATGTTTTTAATTTTTTTTTTCGACATTAAGGGAACTTGAAAAGCACGTTAGGTCAGCACAAGGGTCCCATCTTTGCCCTCAAATGGAACAAAAAGGGTAATTACATTCTGAGCGCAGGAGTGGATAAGGTATTTATCGTTATCCATTCAATTTTTTTTTAATCCATATAAGTCAGAATGTTAAGTCTCGTTAGAACCAAAAATATATACTGGTTTTTATTTTTTGCATACACTATAAATATATATGTTGCGTCAATGTGTGTTTTTTTCCAGCAATGTGTTATTTTTTCAACTTTAAAATCATTTTTTTTATCGCGTTTTTCTAAAATTCATAAGATACGTATTCTAGACATGCTGGAATTAGTGTTGTTAAACGGCTAACCTAATATTTTAGCCTGATAAATATTGTCCTGAGCCTCGAGATTTCGCTAATAGATGTCCAAACCTTCGTTCCTTCTACAAACGAAATCTTCGAGGCTTATGCGATATTATTCTGGATGAAATATTAAGTTAGCCGTTTTATGAAGTCGTTCAACAAACACTAGCTGGAATGCATTTCCGGTTAAATCCGATTTCTAAATGCGCTCAAAAAATGATTTAAAGTTGAAAAATATAACACATTGGCGCTAAACATATACTCTAAAGTATCATTCCAGATACTTTAGATTTACTCGTTACTTTTCGAGAAAAAAAAACATGAATTTGCTTTTACCGAAATGCCGAAATTGTTAACGATCTTTATTACGAAATTTTTGAACTCCTCACATCTTTTTTTTTTGGATAATTATCAGACTACCATCATATGGGACGCGAGTTCTGGTCACTGCACCCAGCAATTTTCCTTCCACTCGGGTTAGATGCCATTATTAAAATAATTCATTTTTTTTTCAAATACGCCATTTTTATCTAGGGATTTATCTTCTTGAGAGATAGAGTAGGGTTGAATACCCTAGTATTTAGGATACATCTTCCACCCTTTAGGGGATAAGCACGTTTTGCCAAAAAATATGTTTAAATATTTATTTTTTCGACGCAATGTTTTGCGAGATGATGGGTTTTAGCGACCCCCTCCCCCCCCCCCGCTAATTTAAATTTATTTCGGTTCGAACCCTCCCAATTTTATTATTTTATGTCCCAAGCTCTGATTGCTCGAAATGCTTAATTGCTATTTCGCGGTAAGGTAATGCATTTTGCCGAAATATTTTAGTAACTCATTTTTTCTTGGAAAAATTTTCCAGAGACTAAAAATTGACCATGTTAAATTTAAGGCTTAATGAATGAATATCCATTTAAACGTATTAAATGAATGAATGAATGAACGGCATACTAAAGCTCCCGCCTTGGATGTGGACTGGCAAAACGACACCACCTTTGCCTCGTGTTCGACGGACCAAGCCATTCACGTTTGCGCTCTGGGCTCCGAATCGCCCATCAAAACGTTCAAAGGACATGGGGTTTTTTTTCTCATTCGTTCATTTAATTACAAATTATTTTTTTTACCTACTACCTCTATAAAATCGTTTTAATTTACGTTATATTTAGTTAAATTAATACCAAATCGTGGTAAGCGATAAGCATTCATTCGTTTTAAAAAAAATTGAATTTTTTTTTTTGCTTTTATCGAGCCCAATTCGAAAATAGTGGTAGTGAAAAGCTATACGAGAAATGTAGCTTAAATTTATAAACCGATATGATTGACAGTAAAGTTCTCCTCCCCCCCCCGCTGCAAATCTAACCAAGTACGGCCATTTTGATCGGACTGCCCCAGTGTTAGGACCTAGAAGTTTTTACCAATCTCGGGCTTATAAATAATGAAAAAATTAAATTTATATTTTGATTTCGCGATTTAAAACCCCCAAAAAATCATATATTTTAAATTTTTTTGTGTCCACATCCTTATTACTCAAAACCGATATTGTTTCATCTTGCCCCCGTAATTTTTTATTTACTCTTAATCGATTCGTGATTTAAAATTTACAAATTTTCGGAGGTTATTACTAGTGTTGCTAAACGGCTCATTTTGAGCCGATTTTTTTTAAAAACGGTTAACTCAATATTTTTTATTAGGAAAATTATTATGCAAGCCTTAAGATTTTGCTCATAGGTGGCACATAAGATCTTGCTCATAGGTGGCACATAAGATCTTGCTCATAGGTGGCACATAAGGTCTTGCTCATAGGTGGCACATAAGGTCTTGCTCATAGGTGGAACATAAGATCATGCTCATAGGTGGCACATAAGGTCTTGCTCTTAGGTGGAACATAAGATCTTGCTCATAGGTGGCACAAAGGTTTGAAACATCTATTAACGAAATCTCGAGTCTTAGAGACGATATTTTTCTGGATAAAATATTGAGTTAGTCGTTTTTTTAAAAAAAATCGGCTCAAATCGCCGTTTAACAACACTCGTTATCACGGTGATGCTGATAATTATTTAAGAACGGTTTTATTTTCCGGACAATTATTCACGTTTTACAAAAAAATATTATTATATAAAATATCATTTAAAATAAATTTATTCGAATTGGGTACAGAACGAAGTGAACGCTATTAAATGGGATCCACAAGGAAAGTTATTAGCATCTTGTTCGGACGATAAGACTATCAAGGTAAGTCAAAAATATAATGTCAATCAATATCATTTTTTTCTTCCTATTAATGGGTCATTGATTTATCGTCATCGGAAAATCAGCGTCCAAATAAAAATCGCGCTCAATTTTTTTGAAAAATTTGATATTTAAATATAAAGGTATTTTAGTAATCATGTCCTAGCGATTTTTAAAAAAAATCTGTCCCGAATGTTGATTTTGCCGGAAATAGGAAAACGTTGTGAATTGGAATTTATTTATAAAATGATATTATAATGAAGATTGCCCCCTCAAAAAATCTCTCTTTTTTTTTGGTTGTTGATTTGTGATGATTGGACTCATAGTCCCAATATTTTGTTGGAATTTTTTTCTTAATATTTACAATGATCATATTTCGCACATTTTGTTAAAATAGAACTGTCTATGAATTTAAACATCTTTTATATACATTTTTTATAATTAATAGTTTAATAGATTTAATACAAAAAAATAACTTGATCGAATGCGAAATGTAATAGATAAAGTTTAAACGTATGAATGAATAAAATTGTGATTTATATGCTATACAACACCTTGCTATAAATCAAATAATTTTATAATTGTAAATCCCATAAATGAACAATTATTTTCTTTAAACATATTCGTTGTAATTATCAAGATATGGACTATGAAGCATGACGTCCCCCTATACGATATTAAAGCCCACGAAAAAGAGATTTACACTATCAAATGGTCTCCCACGGGACCTTGGACCAGCAATCCCAATTCACCGCTCTACCTCGCAAGGTTTGGCTACCCTTGTATTTTTTGCGCGTTACTTTTTCTTTTTTTTATCATTTAGCCCCTCCATTTATTTAAAAATAAATTACTCAAAAAACTAGTGTCCCTTAAACTGCTCATTTTGAGCCCCATTTTTTAAGAAAACGGCTAACTCAATATTTTATTAGTGTGCGAGTCTTAAGATTTAGCTCGTAGGATGGCGCAAAAGGTTTGAACATCTACTAACTAAATCTCGAGGGCTTGGACGATATATTTTTTTTCCGGCTAAAATAATTGTAAAATAATTGTGTTAGCCGTTTGACAACACTACTCTCAACCATGGTCTAAAATTTTTACTTATCTAACCTCTCCATGTTGTATATACTCTTCATCGAATATATATAATGGATAATAAGGGAATTCTTTTCCTGTCACTCAAGTTGATTGATAAATCGTCCCAAAATCTGTCACCAACAAAAAAATATATATAAAGGGGAGAAAAAAAATTAAATGTAAAGAATAAGGTATTTGATGAAGGAACCCTATTGATTGCAAACATGCAAAGTATCCATTAACAAATTTTTTAGAAAGATTTTGTACAATTCAATCTTTAATTTAATATTAACTTTCCAATATCGATCTTTTCCTCCTCAAAATCAGATTTCACCTCCCCCCCCCCTCATCCTCCCATTTAAAATTTATTTATCTTAAGTTCTTTTTTGGGCGCCTTAACGGCCTTGGTTTGTCAGCGTATTGCCGTCTTCACATACCCCCTTTCAGGATTCAACATCCATAGTTTCTCCCTCTAAACATTCTATTTTGAAATCTTTTTTTTTGTTTTTAAAATTATTATTCTTCAATTTTAGCGCATCCTTCGACTCTTGCGTAAAATTATGGGATTTGGACAAGTGCTCATGTCGTTTGGATTCGCCATTGTATCCAGTTATAACCCTTCCCGTTCATACATTTACCCGCCATCAGGAGCCCGTTTACACTCTGGCCTTCAGCCCTAGTGGAAATTTATTAGCTAGCGGTAGTTTCGATAAATTCGTTCTCATTTGGTGCGTTAAGGTTTACGAGAATTTAAAAAAAAAATTTATTTGTTCCTTTAAATATAAAAAAATATCGTTTATTTAATATACAATTTAAAAAAAAAAAGCATTGACATGAAGCTATGAGAACCAAAATAATTTTAAGAAAAAAATATAAATGTGGTTCCTAAAAAGGAACAATATGTTCTGCTTTGAGGGGGTAAGAATTCCCTAGATTCAAGTGGTTTAAATTTTTTTAAGAGACCGAAGGTGATAGGAACAGACCCGTCCGTTGGTTGAAGGGGGCTACAAAATGGCACCACAATAGATATTACCTAATTGAATTGTATGAAAAAAAAAATCAAAATATTCGGAGGTTAGATTTCTTATCTAACAACTTTGATTTTAAATATAATGTCACAAATTAACCTTCGAAGGAATGGATCGAAAATTATAACTAAAAAAAGCAGTGACTTTACGCTAGCTCATATTATTTAGGCACACGGAAAACACTTTTACCCTGCTTTGGTATAGACGGGTAATCCCACCATTTTTTTAAAAGCTGATTGCCAAAAATCGCTAATCCTCGTTTTACAGAAAACGATCACCTCAGCCTCGAGATTTCCTCGAGGAAGATAGCTCTTAATTTTAGAAAAGACGGGAGAGTGTGGATCAACCACCGCCCCGAAGATACGCCTATCATCTTTGACAGCTCATTGTCATGAACAGGTTCAAAAATGTATACTAATAAATGCCACTTTTTGTGAAATCCAATTTTCGATTTTTTTTTTGCTTGGATCATGTATTGCATGCATTGCTGCGATGCTCATAATTATTCTTGTTTATTTTATTAGAATTATACATGAAAAATTAGAACCTACAAATTGCAAACACACTATTATCGCATAAATTTTTTAAATATAAAAGGTCTCATTTAGAAATTTAATAATACATTTTTTTTTGAAACTATTCATGACATCTCACCCGTTTCATAGTCTTTTAGACCTTAGTGTTGTTTTAAAAAAACCGATTGACCCGATTTAAGATTATAACCAAAATAACATTATCTAAGTCTGAAGATTTTGCGCATAGCTGGCAGAAATGCTTGGCAATCTATTTGCCAAATCTCGATGCTTATATATTATTATTTTATGCTAATCTAAATCGGCCTTTTTAACAACATAGCCTTGATAGCCCCCCCCCTATAAAAGTGGTGCATGTAAATGATAATTATTATTGTATTTTTTATTTATTTTTTTTTGAAAAATTTTGTTTTTTAAAATTTATACGAATAAATTGATTATAAAAATTTGGTGTGGATATTTTAAGCGGTTCACGAGTGATAACTCGTGTTTGTTAAACGGCTCGATTTGAGCTGGTTTTTAAAAACGGCTAACTCAACATTATTAGCCAGGAAAATATTACCTAAGCGTCGAGATTTCGCCAACAGATGTTTCAATCCTATGTGCCATCTATGATCAAAATCTTTAGGATTTCATAATATTTTTGTGGATAAAATATTAAGTTAGCCGTTTTTAAATATTGGCTCATATTGAGCCATTTAACAACAACATTAGTAATAACCAGAGTTGTTAAAGGATCTAGATCCTGTATCTAGATATAAAAATGTGGTATTGGTATCTGTATCTAGATAGATTTTTGATCAAAATATCTGTATCTAGATAGATTTTTGATCAAAATATCTGTATCTAGATATTATTTTAAACGATGTATCTGTATCTAGATTCATTTAAAAAGTATCTTTAACAACTCTGGTAATAACCCATAAATTATTGACCAAACCTAATTATATATTCCTGTACTATGACATGTTGGCCATATGATGAACAAATTTAGGAAATTTTATTAACAAACATTATTTTTATTTTTGAAAATAGACTGGTAATTTGGTTAGCACTTTTCAAGGGACTGGTGGTATCTTCGAGATATGCTGGAATTTTACGGGGGATAAGGTCGGTGCCTCAGCGTCTGACGGAACGGTAAATTATCACGAAACTTACCCTCCCTTAGTTTTCTAATTTTTTTTATGGGAGTGGAATATACTAAAAATTTTTTAGAAAAACTCTGAAATATTTTTTTACTCCTCTAGGTATGAAAAATCAAAATTTTTTTTTTGTCTTATGGAAGTTTTTTATTCTAAATACATTATCTCCTTCCGGTCGAGGTTCAACTTGCCGTAATGGAGTTGGGTCAAAGTTAGGATTTTAACAACTATTTTATGGTGTATTAGCTATGGTAATAATATCAGAGACCTGATTTGTAGGTCCCGGCCCGGATTTTTTTTCAAATATTTTTTCCGGCCCGGATTTATTTAATATATATTTTATTTATTTTTGATTTTTACAGCTAATAATGGCGATTTCAAATATTTGGTTTTTTAAATATACAGCCAGGCCCGGATATTTTTTTTTAAAAAAAAATTTCAAGCCCGGTCCGGGTAAATTTAAAAAAATTAAATACCCGGGCCGGGCTTAGGCTCGGGCCTGCAGGTCTCCGAATAATATTAAATATTATATTTTTTCAAAAACAAAAAGGTATTTGTATTGAATTTGCGAAATTTGAAGCAAGCTCATAAGCAAACTCAGAAGCAATTTACATCAAGTTCCGTTTCCTCTATCCCTATAGCCGCCGCCTCAACTTTATGACACTCTTTCCCTTATATATTTTTTTAAAAAATAACTAATGAATAAGGATAATAAATATTATATTCTTCTATTTCGTTTAAAGTGAGTATATTTTGTTTTTTATATAAAAAAATCAGCATAATAATATAATTACAATTATAACATTATTTAATTACATGTAAATATTTGTATATTGTATATAAAAATGTATTTAGTTTAGTTTTTTTATTTTTTTTAAATATAAAAAAAAATTTTTTTTTATAACATTTCATTTTAAGTAAAAAGAGGCATCATATAAAAATATTTTGTTAATTATAAATAAATATCAGAGTTGTTAAAGGATCTAGATACTTCTAGGTATAAAAGTGGTATCTGTATCTACGGTATCTAGATATTATTTTAAACGATGTATCTGTATCTAGATCCATTTAAAAAGTATCTTTTAACAACTCTGATAAATATCAAAATGAAATTAATGGATATTACTCATTATCACACATATGTGCATTATTAGCGAACAAGAGATCATCGATAATTGGTTATATAAAAAAAATAGGTTAAAAATTTTTTTTTGTGTAATTAATATATATTTATATGATTAAAGTAGCCAGTATTACTAATTATTAACAAAAAAATGATAGGCATAAATATGGTTTTTTCTTTCTTTCTTCAATTTATGAAAATCCTACCAGTGGAATCTATATGATTGAGTATAAAGTCGAATATAGTTTTATCCTTCCTCCTTCTAGATACAACTTGTTGGGACTCATCATTTTCCACGACGTTCTCCGCCCTTACTTTGTTAATCCTAAATCTGGTGGGAATCCTAGACTTACCCAATATTTTATTTCTGATATCCTCCGGGTTTATCACCTCTAGCTGCTGACATGTGTTATTTTGAGCTGAATACCCATAACAGCACTGTTCTGTCCTCTGGCAAAAACAATCGTAGGTCGGATAGTACCTTTATTTATTTATATTTTGGAAGATGTGATGGGGGGGAGGTGTAAATTTAGTATTGGTAAATCGTCTAACTTTGACCAACTCCCAAATATGGTTTTTTAAGTTTTAAGTAGCCAAGAAAATTGGCTTAAAACTTCTACGGTAAACTTTAACTTGTCTTCTCCTTTTTTCAGAACGAAACCTTGGCTAAGTCATTTTGAAGTTGATCAAAGTTAGGTTATTTAACCAAAACTATGTAAATTATTATGTGAGATCTCTTGCAAAAGGAAAGAATAATAGAAAATATTAAAAAAATTTAGTGTCCAATAAGATGAGATATTTTGCCGATTTACTTTATTAATGATTTTAGTTCCTTACGTCGAGAGCCAAAAAAAAATTTTTTTTATAGAGTTTTAAAGGAAGAAATTTGCCAAATATAGGAGATACAAATTGACGTCGATTCTTAAGCATTTGGAAGTGTCGATTCAATCTTTATGTTATAATCAGTCAATCGACGTTCGATTATTGGAGTTATTTAAATGTTCAAGAAAACATAAAAATGGCTCATCGGGTCATTTATTTTTGATATTTTCTTCAAAAAATCGAATTATCGGCATCGATCCGATATTGCTATTGTTGCTAGAGGTCCCTAACAGGTGTGTTTTTAGTTCACCCTCCCAATCTATTTGGTTGTTTAAAATTATTTTTAAAACATTGGAGCTGATAAATTTAAAATATTTTTCTAAGTTTAAAATATACCAACGGGCTTTTGTCTTCTAATATTGGTTTTTTTATAAGTTTAGAATAATACAATAAAATAAAGAGCCCAAACTAACAGATCAAATAATTTTTAATTGATCGGGCAGAGTTATACCAAATTTTTTATATAAATGGATCTAGTGAAATTTTTTTTAAACCAATGGGTAAACGGGGTTTCGGTTTAATATGTCTCTCACTGCATCTAATGGGTTGAGACCCTTACAATTCAATATACTACTTAGTGATATCATGAACACTAATTAAATCCTTGTTTTTTTTTTAACCTTTCCAACACTAATAGTATATTCTCTTGGAAATGAACGTTTATTTTATTTGATAGGTCTACAATGGACAGGTTTTTAAACCCAAATGTCTACTTGCCCACTAAAAAATTGTAAAACTCTTTTAGTCTTCTTTTTCTCAAAAATTTGTTTAACTTTTAACCTAGTGTTGTTATTAAAACGGCTAAACTATCTTTCTAGCCAATAAAAATACAGCGCAAGCCTCGAGATTTCGTTAATAGATGTCCAAGCGGTTCTACATTCTATGAACAAAACATCCAGGCGTGCCTAATATTCCTGGCCAAAATAATGGGTTGACCGGCTTTAAGAATCGAGTCGTTTAACAACACTACTTTTAACCCTAACCTCACGATGTTTTGAATATATTTGAGTTGTTGGTATTGGCTTCTGTATTTTATTTTTAACATGCTTTTATTTTATAAAACTTATAAAAAAAAAATTATTATTATGAAATAAAAATAATTTTTAAATAAATTCGCCAGGAAAAAAATATTTCCGGTATTCACCTGTCCCGTTTGAACCATTTTTTAAAAAAAATTTTAAACCCGCTCGTCGAATAGACTTGTTTACGCTAGATATCTATAAAAAGAATTTTTTCACCTTTAGGATCGAAAGTTCATATCCGGAAAAAAATCATTCAACATTCAAGCTCAACTTTCCCCACTGTCCTTATTTTATTTGCTGTAAATAATTTAATTAAAGCTCCAGTGCCTCATTTTCCAGCTGATAAATTGATCATAATTTGAATTTATTTTTTTTACGAAAAATGGGGGGCATGATTTTTTTTTATTATAACGAACTTGGGTACGTGGCAAATGTAGGTTTTATTAACGTCGCAAGGCTCAGCCTTGCAGCTTCTAGTCTTTATCCATTCCGATTTATGGATGTTGGGTAGACACCGTCTTAGGCTAACTTGCTTTCCGCAGCCTCCGCATGGTTCGGTGCACAAACTCCAATCAGTCCATCGCGTACACGGTGGACGAATAGGTGGGATGGGGGTGGTAAGATTGTTCCTATTTTGAGTAGGACATGCGGGTTTACTATCGCTAACGTTGGAAGTGGATCCAGTCTCATGAGGACTACCCGTCATTGTTAAAAAAGAGGGCTCTGTGTAGGCCCATCGGTAGGTCACCGTGAAATCTTCGGGGTCAAACTGGGACGATATGTTTTGAGTAGCGTTGGGGGTGCAATTATCGCCTAAATATTTATAAAATGATGCATTTTTATGGATGTGTATATAATCTGATGATCGGAAATAATCACTTTTTCAATATTTTGTTTTTATTAAAGATGAAATAGATTTTCATTTCTTCTTTCCTCTCTTTCTTTCTTTCTCTTTCTTTCTTTCTTTCTTTCTTTCTTTCTTCTTTCTATCTATAATTTTTTTTAAAATTATTTCCCCTCCCTATCTAAAACTGCTGATGGAACCAATTAATATTTAAAACTAAAAAGGCATATGAGATAGATTAATTTAGGGTATTTGAATTAGAAACGAATGAATGAGTTTATTATTCTATTTTTGTAATCGTAAAAAAAGAAGAAGCTGATAGCAAGAAATCAGGGTCCTTCTAACATAGGGGAAAAGGAGAAATTGAAGCCAATAAAATCTCCGGGGGGGGGGGGGTAAACATGTTAGTCAATTTCCGGTTCACCTTTCTAAAATTTTGAAAGGTGAGTTACGGTTTTCTATAAAAGACGCTTCCTAAATTGTGACTCGCGGATTAAAAACTCGTGTCAGAACTAGTTATAATAAATTTTAAAAGCTGTTCCGTTTCCGGTTCCCATAATTGCCCCTGTTTCGATTTCTATTTCCGGTATTTATAAAGTAAATTCTAAAAAAATTAGTTATAAAACAAATTTTTTTTTTACAATATGTAATGATAGCCTTAAAGCCCAATGCGGTATAATTGGTGTGTTGGGAATACGACCGAAATCCGAGGAGGAGCGTATCCGTGTGCGATATTATCATGTTGGGATAGGAGGTATTTCCGCAAAACCTAAATTTTAGAAAAAAAAGAGAAAAAAAATGTAATTTATATTTTTATTTAAATGGATAGATGGTTAAACCTTGGCCCGGTACCGGCAACATCGATGGCATATTTCACCTCGAGGAAATGTCGGCAAGAACCCGATTTGTTAGATATGACCATATCGAATATCGGCGTTTGGTAGAATTGAAAGATGAGTTTTGGGGTCGAAGATGTGTTGTTCGGGTCTACAGCCTGTATATTTATTTTAGAACAAATCAGAGGTTTAAAAATCGTCCATATTTCCTTGAGCACAAAAAAATCTTTGAATATTCATAACACTTTTTAAAAAGAATTTTTTTATGTCTCAAAATCCCAAAAAATTTGCCATTTTTTTTAACCAAATTATTTTGGCGGGAATTTTAGGGTGTAATTTTGAACAAACATCCGGTTTGAGTATTTTCAAAAAATAAAAATAACAATGGTGAACGATGAATGCTTCTTTTTTTATCAATGTTCTTAGAAGCGGATCATCGAAAAGGATTTTGAGTGTCCCATCTCAATATTGGCCTAAAACTCCCCCATATTTTTAAAAGGATGAAGAAGAAGAAAAAAAAATTAGATCTTACCGTTATAACCCCTTACCCTTAAACTTTAATTAAATACTCTCATATTAATTTTAATTATTACCATAACTAAGAAATTTCGACTCCCCCCCCCCCTCCCCTAGAATAATCTAGCTATAACATTCTTATCAATAATAATCTGTTTTGTAACTTTTATTCTCCAATTGCATCGGCTACTCAAAGAATAATTATTGGGATAATTGAAAGAATTGATAATCGCAGTAGGTGACGATGGAGTCAATACGACATCCCCGACATTGTCAGGGCAATCACCTTTTTTTTTTAAATTAATTTTTTTTTTTTGGAATAAATATATTATGTAAAATTTTTAAAAATCTGATCTTACCTGTATCCCAGCTGGTTTAGAATACGGTACCTAACTCTAATGAATTTCTGAAAATTTTTGCCGTGAACTAGTTAACTTAATATTATTTAATATTTGGTTTTTTTTTTGCTCAGAGCTTTTATTATAAATTATGAATGACTCGAGGTTTAACGATAAATCTGTCTAAAAATTCGATAAGATAGGTAAACGACCTAAACTTTAGTCAACTATAAAACGGTATAGAAATGTTTTTAAACCAAAAAAATATTCCAATCAATCTTCAATTTGAGATTGAACTTAGAGGCTTAATTTCAATTTTTTAGGGCTAAAAGATTGACTAGGCCACAATTCAGAGGGTCAAAGATAGGTATTCTAAACATGCCGAAATAAATTTATGGCAAAATCAAATTTAATATTTATTTATTTTTTTTTAAAAACGGGCTCAATTAATGATTTAAAGTTGAAAAAAAAATAAATAATAACACATTACCCGCTAAAACATATAACATTAATCATACTTTATTAACTGTGTGAGGTGGGGAGAAGTTCGAAGAAAGTCAGTTTTAATAAACGAAATAGGATAATGAAGTATTCTGAACGTTAGTAATCTTACCCCTTCCTTTAAGAGCCTGGCATAATTTCCGTTTGCGCTATGGCAGAGTTGGTACTAGTTACACTTGTTGTAACTAAAGATCTCTATCAACAAAAAACCTACTATAATACCCTAAATCTAGCAAACCAATTAAGATTCATAGTCACATAGTTATGATATAAGGCAACAACTCTCCCCGCGAAAACTTTATTAAATTGTCATATCGAACTAGAAGGTACAGAAGCTCGAATAAAATAAAAATTTAAGTGAGATTAATCTAGAAAAAAAACCAATAATTACTGTAAATCTCATTACAGCTGTTATTTTCACTACTTGTGAGAGTCCTACCGACTAAGATTTTAGCCATAATAAATATTGTATAAGCCTCTAGATTTTGGAATTCGAGGTCCTAAAGTTAGGAGCACACTTCCAGTGGCTTAGCCAGAATTTTCCAATCTGAAGGGTGAGGTTTAAAAAAATTTTTATGGGAGCTTCGCCCCCAAACCCCCTTTTACCCGAGTTCAGCCTGTCCTTTACTATAAAAAATTATTATATATTATTGATTGGTCTATTAAAGTTGGCTGAACGATTCCCCTAATTTCCAAAATATGGCAATTTTTTGCGCATTATTAGTGTCCGCCCTTGACCAGTATGTATAACCAATCAGAATAAAGGAAGAATTATTATTAATAACAAGGATTTCTGGCCAACCTTAAGGAATAGAAAGTTGACACTGAAAGCATTTATTCAGTAAAATTTTCTCAATGTTTAGATCATAATTGTATATTAATTTGCTATCCGTTTGGTATAGCAAAATTTTTATTCTAAAAAAATATAGTCCCTATCTATAAGTTGAGGCTAAACTTAGACGTTTATGTCAATTTTTTTTTAAGGGGTAATCTTGACCACGCCATATTGGATTCAGTCAAAGCTGGGTGATTTAACATATCACTAGTTTGGTAGGCAGTGTAAGAAGAAGAAAATTGACAAAATAAACGTTGCGCTTAAAATGGAAAAAAATTTAGAAAAGCTATATATCCCTGCATACGCTGATGCCTGATGACTAGTGCTTTCAATTTCCTCACTCAAATATGAAAACCACCAAAAAGAAACTGAGTTAATAACACACTGCGTAAAAGTCAGCCACGCTTTTTGTGAAGGACTAATTATGGAACTTATGCTAAACCATTAAGTTTTGTGGCTTTATTAGTATAATTTAGTTGCTTTATTCTGTTGGCATCATGCCAGAACGGATAATAATAGAAGTTCTAACGATCTGGTTTGCGTTAATACTTAATTATCTTTAATCAATTTTCCAGCCAATTAAAAAGTAACGTCTAGTTATGAACTATACGATATCGCGTCTTATGCCTAAAGTTAGCCGAACCATCTAGAAGTGCTATCTGGGGAAATTTATGCCAATAATTTTAGTACGTATTTCATTCTACTTTACCGCTTCAAACCCGTTTGGTGGATAGTTTAAAGATGAAAGAAAATATTTCTACAAAATTTAACCGATTTTCAAAAACGGCTAAACTCAATATTGTAGCCAGAAAAATATTGTCTAAGCCTCGAGATTTCGTTAATAGAGTCCAAACCTGTAAGCCACCTATGAGTAAAATCTTAAGGCTTGCACTTTCTTTCTTTCTTTTCTTTCTTTCTTTCTTTCTTTCTTTCTTTCTTTCTTTCTTTCTTTCTTTCTTTCTTTCTTTCTATTTATTTTCTTAATAAAATATTGAGTTAGCCGTTTAATATGATTGGCATCATGCTAAGAAGAAAAATTATAGTAGTGGCAATCATACGTTATTCCCGCCAATTAAAACCAGTTATAAGAGAAATAAAAATTACAAACGTGTCTTACGGCTTGAATTATTAAAATATCGATTTTAAATTATCTAAAAAAATCATTAGAAATATGACAAACTAGATGCGAGATAATTTAAAATTTATTTTTTAAAAAAAATAAGATCAAATTTAGTAAATTTATAAAATATTTTATGAATAAGGGGGGGGGGTTTAACCCCTAAACCTTCCATCCATGCCTACGTCACTGCCTGCGTTATATTATTTTGGCTAAAATCTTGATCGGGTCGGTTTTAAAAATTAATCCAAATTGGGCGGTTTAACAACACCATTTGAATACAATTTTAATTTTGAAACAAATTTTTATTCGTACAATTACGAAAGATTTTGAAAAATATTTAGGCAAAAATATGATTGAAAAGAAATTCTCCCTTCCTCCAGGAATAAACAAAGATTACTTTTTCTTTGCCAATTCTGGTTGTCATTACAAAAGAACTTGAATATTGGGGATGGGTCAGAAAATGAAAACCGTAAATTTAGTATGTATATTTATATAACGTGGAACCTTCGCTAGGTTGGACTTCGTCTCATAATCTTCCGGATAAAATATTGGGACATTTGCATACGGAGCAGTTGTTGGGATCCAAGTAGCCCATATTCTGACAATACAAATCCGGAGCACCTCTGCACTTATCTTTCATAAATAGAAGTGCAAAACAATATTTTATTTATTTCTAGCGTTCCTTTATATATATATATATTTTAATTTGTATTTTGATAAATGTGATATCTAGTCGATAAAGTTTTTAGCTTCATTTCATACATTTTCACAATAGAATCCTAATTTAGGTTTATGCAAAGCTTATATAAGAGTATTAAAAATGTATCTGTATCTAGATAAATTTTTTAAAATGTATCTGTTATCTGTATCTGGATAATTTTTTTAGACACTGTATCTGTATCTGGATCTAGATCCATTTAAAAAGTATGATCGCGCTTTACAGACTGACTGCTTTATTATGTTCCTTTTTAAAAAGTTACTATATTTGTATCGAACTACTCATAGGTAGGTAGATGATATTATATGCTTAAATTAATAAAATAAATCAAGCAACCAAAATAAGCTACGAATTGGTTATTTAGATATTTTGATTTTGCAAATATTAAAATAATAGAGAAAGTAGGAATGCTCTGTAATACTTATACGAAGCTATAGCGAAAATAATGCAGATTTCTTATGGATATTAAACGAGTAATTTTGATCATTTAATAATTAAATTATAAATAACGACGCAGATAACGGTAAAATGCAGAGTTGTTAAAGGATCTAGATACAAGTATCTAGATCCTGTATCTAGATATAAAAATGTGGTATCTGTATCTAGATAGATTTTTGATTAAAATATCGGTATCTAGATAGATTTTTGATTAAAATATCGGTATCTAGATATTATTTTAGACGATGTATCTGTATCTAGATCCATTTAAAAAGTATCTTTTAACAACTTTGGTAAAAGGACAACACAAAGGAAAAGAATGTCAAGAATTATTTAATTTTTTTTTCGGTTGAAACCGGTTTAACTTTTTTATAACGGTTTTGATATTGGTTCGTCCCGTTATTCACCGAAGAGAATGGCGGAAAGGATATTCGTTAAGGAGATGATATTGAGGATATCTGTGAATTTTACCATTCAAATTTAAATCAAGTTTTTTTTGGAAAAGGTGTCTAAGTTTAGAAATATTTTTTATTATGGCTAAAACGAGGTACGTAATTTTAACACGTGACCTGTGAGGTTAGAGTATCTAAAGATTTGTCATATTCTGAGAATTGTATACTTTTTTTTTTTAAATATATATGTTGATATATTATTTAGCTACTTCTGTTTCTCCTGATGATGATATGATTCAACCTGGGACCTTATCCTTTACCTTTAAAAAAAAATTAATTATCTGCCTTCCCTTGATTTATTCATTTTATATAAATATATATTCACCATTTCCTATTACCTAATGTACCGCCAAAAGGGTGTCAAAAAATAATTAATATTATGGCATGCATACCCCCTTCCGAATTATAGATTAGGCTCTGTCGGCTCCGAAATTACCCGTTAAAGCTATTTTAAAACGGGTTTTCCATCGGGACCGCCAGCTGGGAAAAACCTGAACAATAAAATCTGTTGGCAGATCTTGAATCGTAAAATGACAGTTCCGTTCCGCTTCCTATCGTGGTCTGCATAAGAGAATCCGTAGTTCTAATGACGGGGCCGACAAATCCCTTTTGCAAAAAGGCCTTTAATTTAATGAAGAAGAAGAAAAAAAATATGAGAGATTAGAAAATGGGTACAAAAAATAAATCTGACCTAAATGTATAATAAAAAACTAATTAAATTCAAAAATATGTATGACGTCATTTCTTGAGATTATTGAATCCATCGTGATTTGGTGGAACCTTCCTATTTTGAAACATTTAAATTAGATTTGGAGGTGGTTGTTCTATTTCAATTTAAAGTTTAATGTTTATAAAAGGCGTTAATGTCATATTATAATATATTTCTTCATTTATTTTTTTGTCTAAAGCGTTAATATACATACATGTATACATTTAAATGTTTACTGTTTAAGGCAATAATTGTAGAAGGTGATATGTAAATTGGACATTTAATTGTATTAAATTATGCTTAATTTTGATACATATTAGATACGAAAATGAACCTGTTCTTTAAATAAATACTATTATCATCGATTCTGTTTTCTCAAGACCGTTATCAACTACAGATTCCGAGACTGTTCTCGACCAATTCTCAGTGCAAGACCACCCCACTTGCATTAATATTCGTATTCAGTTTTAAATTAAGCCGCTATTTTTTTTTGTTATATATATAAAAAAAAAATATACAATTTAAATTTTTTTTTAAAATGAACCATCTTGCGGAAATATTTTTGTTACTTTACTTTATTTTATTATATACAATTTTTATTAACTTGCACTTAGGTCAGCTGGTTTTCTACCTCAATGGAGCCTTCTGGCTTATTTACCGATAAGTAGGCGTTTCTGATGGGGTCACACGTATTCCATGGTCTCAAGGAAAGTTTTTAATATGGGATTTCTCTTGTCTGGACACTAACTCCCCCTCTAATTTTAACAAGGACGTGTTGTAATTGTGGTAACATGCAAATTTACTAGATTAAGAAAAACGCCAGACAGGCAGATTATTTTTAAACAAAATTACGAAGCCGAAAGATATTCAAATCTACTCAAGAAAAAAGAATTAAATCTCGGTAACAAATTGAGACTACGCAAATGTTGATTAAAGAAAAAGGATATATAATGGAGAAATTATGATGCGAAAAGGATGATTAAATTAATATTTTTAACTTTTAATTTACTTTTTAATTTTCTTTTTTTATATTAATTTTAATTTTTCTTTTATTTTGATTATGTTTTTTACTTTGTATTTAATTATATTTATTATTATTTAATAAAGGATTCAACTATAATTTTAGTATATATTTCTTTTTATATTTAGGTTTTGATTTTCCAATGTCAAATCTCGCTTTCTTGACAGGACACTTTGAACAGAGCTCAAAATTTTAAGATCAGCAAATACAGCGCTGATTCCTCAAATTACATATTCGTACCCATCATTTGCTCCACCTTAACTACATATGGTGATTTGGCAAAAAACTTTTTTAAAGACGTTGGCCGCCTAATCAGAAAAAATTCTGGGGAGCCTCGCGAAGTTTTTTTACTCAAGGCAGAGGATCGCAACAACCATTCTTAAGGCTAATTATGTTTGTTTTATTAATTCGATCTCTCCTGATGGTTAGATGAAGGAGGTTTTTGAATAATTTCTGCTGCTTTCGCTTATGCCTCAATATTGTCCTTTTGCTATTATGATTTTTTTTTTTCGTAATTGTTTACTAAATTATATATTTTTCAATGATGATTTATAATAAAAAGTGGTTTCAATAATTTTGTATTTTATATAAATATCTTGTTTTGTATTTTATATATAATATAATAAATATCTTATTTTGTATTTTATATATATATTAAAATAAAAATAAAGTTATTATTAATAGAACATATATATATATATATTTAATTTTCTTACATTCATTAAAAAAAATAATTTTCGAAAAATTTTATATCTTGCAAATTTATATTATGCGATTTAAATAAAAACAGGAAAAAAAAATCATAAATACAAAATGAAATATTTAACGGCCAAATTAATTTTATTAAAATATGCTGATCTCAAAGCTCTAAAGATAATTTAATTGCAAAGATAATGTCTAACGATTCGACCTTTACAAGAGTGGCAATGGAGGTTATGTCTTACATTACCCACAGAAGCAGAACTGCAACCTGAACAAGTGTGGGGTTATGTCATTAGGCAGTCCATCATCAATATACAAGGCATGCAAGGATAATGAACACGTCGAGTTAATGGATTTAACGATGTCGTAGATGCCTACACAGAAAAATAAAGAACCAAGAGGATCTTCCTGTTGAATGCCCTCAATGGAAGGAATTATATAAATATTAAATTGCGGGGTTGTAGGCAGATGATAACAAGCATGAAAAAATTTTGTGTAACCGGGGAAAAGAGTACAAAAGGAACTCAGAAAGGAATTCCGAGTAAGTGTTATTATAGGTATTGGAGAAGTCAATTTTGACTAAAGACTCATTGGTAGGCTAATTTTCTAAATGTATACTAGTTAAATGTATAACAGCATTACAGCCACCAGTTCCAACACCAAGTTAAAAAGGGCTTAAGAGACTTGAAGCTTCGTGCTTTATTCGAGAAGATATCATCTTGGCAACTAAGCGGCGAAGCAATAGGTCTAATATAATCATTGGGATTTTGAAGTGCAATCAGCCATCAATAATTGTATTATAGTATATAAATAAATTACCAAACTATTGAAGAAATGAAAAATACTAACATTGGGTCCGTAGTGCATAATGGAGCCGTGATCATATGGAGATCCGTAATCTACACCTTCGTCGACGTGGAAGCTAGAAGCCGCTAGAACGTTAATGGCGCTCATGTTGATTAGTAAGTAGGCATCCCTGCCTGGTCTAGACTGTTCGTGGAAAAAACCGACAGAGTGACCTATCTCGTGAGCTATTATGGTCACCTTCAATTTTTTTTTTGGTGAGCAATAAATGTAGAGCATGCGATCGTTGCAAAAATAATTATTTCGAAAAATTAAGATTTATATATTTTGTGCGTTTTTACTAGTGATGTTAATTGTAAGTTACATTTTGGCTAAAAAATAACTGTAACTAGTTATATTTTTAAAATCGTAACTAGTAACTGTAACTAGTTAAAAATTTTGAAATGTAACTGCCAAAAGTAACTAGTTACTTTTAAAGATATATTCAAATAATTAATTTTATTTTTAATATGTTGTGATAAATTAATTTAAAATATTGTGAAAATGTCTGATTGTTCCCAAGAATAACACAAATACTTATATGTATGGCAGATGTGCAGGGATTAAAATATTGTCAACCTCTAAAGGATACTATATAAGCTAGTATTGAAAAAAGGTAACTAAAATCAAATAATTATTTATATATTAATAATATCATGTTATAGGTTTAATAATCTTTATGATAATGACAACATCATTGCTGCAATTCTTCACCCTTTATTTAAAACTGACTGGCCTTGGATTAGGCAAGAAAGGAACAAAGCAAAAAAGGAGGAAATTTTAAATTTAATAAATACCTTAATACCTCAAAGTGAATCCCAGACGAATGAATCATGCTCAAAACCAACATCACTTGATGTAGTTGGATTTTTTGACCTAAAGCGCCAAAATATTCTGGATAATGAACTTATAGAAAACTTTATCAAATCTAATAACAACACTTTTTCTTTATATAACGATTTTCCGAAGTTAAAATTACTCAATATTAAATATAATGTTGTTCTAACATAAAGTGCTCCCGTAGAGCGCTTATTCAGTCTAGGTAAGCTCATTTTTGGAGATAAACGAGCACGTCTCCTACATAATAACTTTGAAATTAATTTGTTGTTAAAAGCAAATAAACATTTATTAGATTCTAATTTTTATGAAAAATAAATGTTTTTTTTTCAATGCAAATATATATTTTTATATTCGATGTAAATATTCAATTTTGCGATATTTTTTTTTATAAATAAATTGTATATTATTTTAAATAACTGATTATACTTTGTTTATCCTAATTTTTTTTATATTAAATAAATGCATTCAATAAATAAATAATGCGCATATAAAGGATGTATAAAGTAAGTAACTAGTTACTTTTGAAAATAACTGAAACTAATAACTAGTTACTTTTGTAAAAATGTAACTAGTAACTAGTAACTGTAACTAGTTATGTTTTTGCCAGTGTAACTAGTAACTGTAACTAGTTATGTTTCAAAAGTAACTTTTAACATCACTAGTTTTTACATAATAAATTTTTTTTTATCGTCTGCTTAAATTGACATATTATTTTAATTCGAAATAATTTCCATATTTTAAAGTAATACGATATAATATTATATAATATATTTCAGAGACCTGGCCCGACCCAACCCGTATTATAATATTTTTAAATAAACACCGGACCGAGCCAAAAAATATCCGGGCCGGCCTGTTTAATTAAACCAAATAATTGTAATCGATCTGAGTTTACGGCATATTTTGTAGAGCCCCATTCGTGGTTAGCGCAAAATGGCGCCGATTATGAATGAGGGGTAACCCAGATTTCTAAAGTTTTCTTTGGGTTCTAGTTTCAGTTCCTAAGAAAATTTTTTAATTTTTACCCAGATATTGTCCTCTGCCCCCCCCCTATGAGTTAGAATTTCGGCTTGGGGTTTTAAATACCGAAAATAATTACGCGTACTTAGATCTTCGTGGAAATCGTATTTGATAGGTAATTCCCACTTCATCCCCGGATAATTACGCGTACTTAGATCTTCGTGGAAATCGTATTTGATAGGTAATTCCCACTTGTATTCATCCCCGGGTATGACATTTCTTTTGGATCGACTAGATACGTATTCGGGATCGAAAAATCTTCTTTGTCTTAACACGGGAATTATGTCGTCGAATTTTCCGTCCCACTGTGCTTCGATCTTTACGTTTTTTTCAAATATTTCGCAAAAATTATGATAAAAAATTTGAAGAAATTAAACCTGCTTGATATCCATTTTCAATCCGTTCATCTTGAGAACATTCTTCAATCTCTTCACCCATATCTTCCTAAGTTGGTACCATTCGTGTACAGTTCTACCCAATAGAATATTTGGTGGGGGGTATTTTTTGATATCTACGTATTTGTTCTCGGGTTCCTTATATAATATATAAATATATATAAGATAGGTATTTGAAAATTTGAAGAAGGTATTTATACGATACCAATAAATTTATTTATCTAGTTGAAAAATTTATAAAAAATAAGATGGGTTAGGACAGCTGATAATTTGGTTGTCACGAGATGTGTCAGAACTCTCTAGGTCACCCCTCCTCTCTCTGTTCGTGCCAATGACGTAGAACCACGTCATCTCCCTATCCGGATGAATTAATTATATAAAATGGATGCTTACTACGTAATGAAAGAGATATCTCAAACTCGAATGCTTGTTTTAATTATATGCATTAAGATTTTAAAATATACACTATTTAATATATATTTTTATTTTTTAAATGTTTTAATTCCCTAAGCTATTTTTGTACGAAGTGGGGGCAAAAGTAACGAAAGCCACTTAAAAATTTTTTTTTTACAAATTATCGGTGGCGCGATACTTTTGATAGTATCCTTTTACACGTGTTGTTTAAGTTGCGTTTAACAACAAGGGCAGTTATATAACGTGTTTAAATATAATCTTTTAATTCTATTTCTAATGCTGTTCTTTTTTTTTAAACTTTGATTTTAGCTCTAATCTATTTTAGATGTCAATTAGACCCGACAGGATGACACTTAATCCTACGGAACTAAAATATACAACTTTTTCGTAATTACCCTCTTGCATAGATCTTTTTGCCATATTCTTTTCTACTAACTTACCTCGTGTGAGTAGAAAATATAAAAAAAATCTAATAAACACAGCTACCTAAACAATATATTCTTCGTTCGACTAATTTCAGACACCCTGTTATAGAGGTCTGCATTCATTGGGCGGGTTTTTCGCTCGCCCACGCCCATGCCCGCCGATACCTTGAATGGACATGGTCGGATTTTTAAAACATTTTTCAACATCAGGCGAGCGGCGTGTAAATTTTCGATATTTTTCAAGCGAAATGAGCAGAACGGACTTCAATTTATTAAAAAATAATCGTTTTCATTTTATAACATTGCATATTATTATATAAGGTTTAGTTTTAATAAAAATAAATACATTTGAAATGAATAAATAAAAAGCCAAACCAGCCATTAAAACAATTTTTAAACCATAGACCGGCCAGCGGGCTAAACCAAATTTATAGATAAATGGACGGGTGGGCGGAAAAACAACGAGTGAACGAGCTTTTTGGCTAGGAACCGGCCCGTTGCAGACCTCTTATATATTTGGACTACAAGCACTAAATGTATTCAAAACACAACAGTTACGTTTTGATCAACCTCAAACGAGAGCTATTATCTACGGAATATTGTTTTTTTTTGACCCCTCATATACGGTTAGCGCGAATCGGTGGGTAGTATAATTTTTGGCCGCCGCGATTTCGCGCTAACAAGGAATGCAAGGGTCAGCTGATTTTAAATATTACGGAGAGCCGCTAGATTTCGTTAATAGATGGTTCCAAACCATTCTGCCATCTACGGGCAAAAGGTTCGTAATATTATGTTTTTTCTGCCCAAAATATGGGTGGTTTGTAGTTTTAGAAAATTTGAGCCGTTTAAGCAAACTTAAATTTTTTTTATTTGTTTAATTTTTAAATATGATATAGAGATTTATAGTATACTTTTTTTAAGGACGTTTTCTTCTACTAATGTTCATAAAATTAAAACGGGTTTATAGCGGTTATACAGTGCTGAAAATGTAATTTAAGATTTTTTTTTTTGTAAATAATGGTTATATAATTTAAAAATATAAATATTTTTTTTTGTAAATAATGGCGATATAATTTTAAAAAACAATTTAAATTTAAAAAAAAAAAATGTGACCCGGTAAAAGTCTTGAAACATTTTGTCCTAAATCTCTGGAATTCGAGATCGGGTAGGACCCGTGCCGCGTGCTGGGATCTAGCTATAGGTCACTATCGGCCGTAATTTTTTAAATTCAATCTGCATGTCAGCTGACACTTTTTTGAAAATTTTTATAAGATCCATAAAAGAACCATCGATTTCGAAGCCATAAAGACTGATAAAAGATTCCATCTTTCTTAATTTCTTCTCTTTTTTTAAATTCTCTATTTTTATTCGTCTCCCCCTTCCCTTTCTTTATGTCTATCTAAGGTTAAAAAAAACAAATAAATAAATCATAAAACCGGTATTTTGATATTTTTAAAAAATACCCGGGCCGGGTCTGAAATTTTTTTTAATAAAAATATCCGGGCCGACTAAAAAGATAAAATCCGGGTCGGGCTTTGCAAATGGTACCTCTGCAGGTCTTTGAAATAAATAAAATATGAAAGTGTTTACTCCGAAATAAGTTTCATCTTTATTAGAGCTTTCATCTGAATATTTAGAACTCGTCCAACTTGTTGTAAGGACAACAACAAAGTATAGGATAAATATAAAATAAAATGGTGTCTTCATATTCCCAAATTTAAATGTTTTTTTTTAAAAAAAAATTGATTTATTGATTGATTGGGTATCGATTATCGGTTCTTAAAATTAGATAAATTTGTTGAAGTCCAATATCTTATTGATTTTTTTATCATTTAAAAAAAAAAATTCTATGACCATCAAAAAATTTTTTAAATAAAAAGACAATAATTAAATAATTTATTCATGTACTTTCTTAGTTTTTTGTCCAGTTAATTTATTATATTTAAAAAAATTTTTTTTTTATAAAAAATAAAAAATCACAAAATACACCTATATTTGTCCACTTCAATCTGGCATTTTTTGTACTGTATTTGTCGTATGTAAATTTTACCCCTCTTGTTTCACTAATCGTTAAAAAAAATATGATGAGTTTAGAGATTATAATTTTAAATATGGGGTTGTAAACAAAAATTAGAAAAATTATGCGACATAATTATAAGGTATTTTTATTTAATAATTTAATTAATAAAAATCTTTGTTTTTTATTTAATTCTATGGTTTTTTATTTTTTTTAATCTTTCGAAATCGTTAATTAAACCAGGGGTTCGAACCGAACCGAACCGCAAAACCGGAATGAACCGTTATGATTTTCTGAACCGTAACCTTAACCGAACCGTTATGAAGAAAATATTAAAAGAGCGAACCGAACCGTTATAAATATTTTTAACCGGTTTAAACCGGTTCAAAACGGTTTTAAAAATAATTAATTTTAAATTATTAACCTAAATTTAAAATTTTAATCTTCCTTGGGGGCATTTTTTAAATTGGTGATTTCTTTTCAAATTAAATATTTCCATATTATCAACATTATATATCAAATTAAATATTTTTATATTATCAACATTATATATCAAATAATACCAGGTTTGTTGTTTTTTCTTTAAATACTTAATTTATAAGATATTAGACAATTTATCTGTTAATTAGATAAGATATCTTAAAATCAGACATAATTATTCTTGGCTAAATTAAATTTTTTATCTCATTATAAAAACTTGGATCATAGAATTTAAATGACAATAAATAAAATAGTCAAAAATATTTTAATGATATAATAATTTTTTATTTATCATCATTGTTTTTTTAAATTCAGAATTCTAATATTATAAATTATTTATTATTATAATATGTTAGTTAGCATTTACCATTATCATATATGCAAAATAAAAAAATATGATTAAAGAATGGCATTTGTAATGAATATTTTTCTAAATCTGTATTTTTAAATAATAAAAATCTTACTATAAATCGTTTAAATAAGTTAATTAACATTGCATTAAATTATTTTTATACTTTTATTTATTTATTAATGTGTTTTATATTTAAATAAACTTACAGTGAATTAAAAATAGGAATTACATTTTGATGTTAAACTAAATATAAATACTATAGCTTAACTTAAATTACCTATTCTGTCATATTATATTAACATCTAACAGAAATAAAGTACTGACCAATTTTCATATAATATTGTTTTACAATAATTTCTTATTAATTGATATATTCAAAAAAAGTTTATCTTAGTTTATATAGAATATATCAGAGTGGGTAATTTGAATTAAACTATACTAGTTATATTTAGTTTAACATCAAAATGTAATTCCTATTTTTAAATGTAAGTCTATTTAATATAAAACACAAATAAATAAAAGTATAAAATAATTTAATGCAATGTTAGTTAACTTATTTAAACTGAAGATTTATAGTAAGATTTTTATTATTTAAAAATACAGATTTAGAAAAATATTCATTACAAATGCCATTCTTTAATCATATTTTTTTTTATTTTGCATATATGATAATGGTAAATGCTAACTAACATATTATTTTAATAATAAATATAGAATTATGAATTTTAAAAAAAATATGATTTTTATAAATAAAAAATTATTATATCATTAAAATATTTATTGCTGACCATTTGATTTATTGTCATTTAAATTCTATAATCCAAGTTATTTAAAAAAATTAAAATGAAGGTAAAATTGTTTCTATAGCTTTGTTAGTAGTCTTGATATTAAAAAATTTATAATAATCAAATTTAGTTCCACGAATCTACCCCGCGAATTCTTAGTTGAACAAAGCTATGATGGTGTCTCAAACATCAGTGAAAAGATCATAGGAGTACAGGCTTTTAAAGCTGAGTTCTCAAGGACAGCCTTTATTTGGTGTTATTGTTATTGCTTAAATCGAATCATTGTTCGATTACAATTGATAAGATAACTTAGAAATGTTTTAGGGATCTTAGCCAAGATTCACGTGTATTTTAATAGTGTTCAAATATATAAAGTGCTCAAAGCATAACAGGGTGTAATTATTTTTTACGCATCAAGAATATTACTCGGTAACATTATCTTACTTGTTTAGATTTAAAATGTTTATTTTATATTTATAGAAGCTGGCTATCATCATATAAAGCTATTGTAAAACTTTTTCTACTATATAATACTTTGAATACAGTTTTGAAAAATTTAAAGGATTCTGGAGAATCCGCCAATTCTACTATGACTAGTGCTATTGTTTTTTAGAATAGAATTGGATAAAAAATTACTGATTACAAGCTTGGCTTGTACAAAAATTGTAAACCATTTCGACTAGGTTTTGCAATAAATAAAATTCCTAATTAAGTTGAGAGTGTATGATAAATTATTGTCTTGTATTATTTTTTAATCCTAATAGATAATAATACTGAATATGTGAATTTTTTTTTCAAAGGCACAAGATTTTTATGACGGGGAGATATCTGCCTTTTGATTCTGAAGGTTCCGGACTTCAAACATTACAAACCAAAAAGGATGAGGTGTATATATAGTGATCTTCATCGGGCCTAATTTTTCAAGCCCGCTCAGCCCAAAATTTGTTTAAAAAAATTTTGCTCGGCCCGGCTAGAACCCGAAATTTTTTCTAAAACATTTTGCCGGCCCTGCCCGAATGTTTAAATATAGAAATTAATTTTTTATGATTACTCAAAATAAAAGATGTATGTTATATGGTGTCTAGTTTCTATAAATAAAATTAAATATTTATATTTTACATAAAATAATTCAACATAAAATTGATAAATTTAGATATATTTTTTAAAAAAAATCCAAAACCCGACCCGGCCCGAATTTTCTTAAAAAATATAAAGCCCGACTCGGCCCAAACAGGCTTCGGGCCCGGCCTACTTTTGCAGATCTCTAGTATATACTTTTATAATTAAATATAATATTTTATTTTAACTAAAAAACCAGTTTATGCTACATTCGATCTGACATTATGCAGTTTAATGAAAGATTCAATAATAAATAATAGGAAATTTTTAAATCAAAGATAATTTTTTTCCCCAGGGTCCTTAACTTTTATTTATAACTTTTTGGTTACGGTTCTTATATATTTTTTTATAAAATTTCGGTTCAGTTAACTGTAAAGGTTTATAAAGGTTCATTACGGTTTGAAAATTTTTTTAAAAAATTATTTTTTATTGAAGCGACACCATTCTATAATAATTTTATTTTTGAATATTAATTATTAAAATTTTTGCCATCACTTAGGTTAAATATATTGTTTTATAAAAATAGATGGTATTAATTAATTTTTTTATTATAAGTATTATATCTATGAATAATATATATAAAAAAAATATAAAAGAGTCATAAACTTATTTTTAAATATATTATTCGAACTTATAAGCAATATATTTTTATAATAAGTGAATTCATATTTGTTCGTTGTGATGATAACACAAATTTTAGCTCCGAAAAGGCCTTTTCAACAGAAACTTATATTGCTGGAACTGCAATTTCTATAATAGCTAGTATATAAATCTGTGTCATATTATTATTTAAAATTATTAATTTAAAAAAAATTATTTTGTTTAATATTTATCAAATTTATAAATAGTCGCCTGATTTTATAATCACATGTAAAACTCGTAATCTCTTTGTCTCAAAAAAAAAGTATAAGAGTGACTAGATTTTATAATAATGATTACTTTTATGACTTTTTATTTTTTTTAAAATATATTTGGTCAATAAAATTTGGAGTTGAAAATTTATTCATTTTAGTTTTAGTTGTGTTGGTTAATTATGTGATTTATAAAATGGCGTTTTACTACTGGTAGATTTTTTATAGTATATTCACAATAACGGTTAGAGTTTTTTTATAATATATAATTATCATAATCTGAATATTCAATTTTTTTGATTCCCAATACATAAAAATTGATGATTTTTTAGATTAATTGAATAAATGCAATTAAATCGAAAATTAGTTATTTAGATATTTTGTATACAGGAATATATATAAAATAAGAATATGGCTATAATGCTATAAGAAATAAATGTAAACAAAATAAGAGGTCAAAGCAGACAAATATTGTAAAATTATGATATTGATAAACTAATTAGAATTCATCATCGATTTGTAAAGTCACATCATATAGATATTATTGGTATTATGATATCTCGCACCTAAAAAATAATATAAAAAACGGATTGAAACAATTTGCAAACTTACTTTTAAAGACAACCCAAAATATATTTTTAATATACTCAAATGCCAAAATTCATCAAAATTAAAACCTTATAAATTTGGTCATTATAAAAAGATTAATGACACCCTTCTATCAAACTACTAATGAGTAGGTGGTGATATTATACTTAAATTAGTTAAATAAATAAATCAAAAATTTACAAATTTTGGTTATTTAGATATTTTGTATAATATAATAGAGAAAATAGGAATGATCTAATACTATATGAAGCAGTTAATAGATTGTGGTTCAATTTAACTCATAGGAAAATTAATATACACTTCTTATGGATATTGAGCAAATATTTTGATCATTTAATAATTATAAATAACGAGGCAGATATGGAATACACTAAAAGGAAAAGAATGTAAAAAAATAATTATTTATTTTATTTTGGTTGAAACCTGTTCAGACAACCATTTTTATAAAGGTTTTTTTCTCACTAGGAGTCCTTGCTTTGCACATTGAGGATATCTGAAAATTTTATCATTTAAATTTAAGTCAAGTTGAAAAAGTGTCACCGCTTCTAAATGAGGTTAAAGAATCTAAAGATTTGTCAAATTCTGGGAATTGTAAATTTATTTTATTAAAATATTTATATTAATGCATTATTTAGCTTCTTCTTATGATGATGATCATGATTCTGAGACTTATGATTCAGACTGGAAAAATTTGTATTTTACCTATTCGTTTACTTTAAAAATTCCCTGCGTTCCCTAATTTATTAATTTTAATTATAATTACCATTTTTAATACCTCGTGTAATTCCAAAAAGGTGTCTTAAAATATTTCTCAGTTTTCTGTGGGGAGGGGGGGGGGTACCTTTTATGGGGGTATTCTTCTTCTATTTCTCAGATAGTGTATAGAAAACAGCATACAATATAATTTAATGTATTTTAGTAATTTTTAGCATTTGTAAGAAATTTTGCAGTAATGTAAATTGCTACATAAAATATAATCAAGTTTTATCTTGATTTGGATTGTATTCTTCCACTTATTATATAAAGTATTAAATTATTTATAACTGTTTAAAACTAGCATTAATTTATAGGCCATTCTTGTTTCCCCCCCCCCCGCCTAACTCCAAATCTCTTACTCCCTCTCACTAAATATATTGCTAGGCTACCGACTTAAATCTGTTTTAATATTAAATTTTTCGGAGGATTTTTTAATTAAAATTAAGTGGTGTTCTACAGACAATGCGTTGACAGCCTGGTTATACGAGAAATACACCTATATAATATTTATATATAAATATTAAATAAATATAATAATATTTAGAATTATAATAACTTACTATTGACTGAAATCTCTATCAATTGCTTAAAATGTCGCATGTGACATGTTAACACTATAGTTTATAACAGGCATATATATTTATCAAAAACAGATGTTTTTGCTTATATAAAATCTTAAATTACCTACGTTTCCCTCATTATATTTTATTATCTTTTTTTGAATAGTTTATTTTTTTTGCTATAAAGACTTTTATATTAGTATGGATATGGAACATATTAACCATCATATGACAGAAAATAATACAAATCATGATCATCATTTAACTTTAAATACAGAATCATTAGTAACAAATTTGATAAACAAAGTAGTTGAAAATTCTTCCCATTTAATAACTGATGCGTTTAATCAAACAAACGATTTGATCACCGAATCTTTAACTACTCCAATCTTTAATCATCATGATCATGGAAATGTGCATGATATGCACTCATCCATTCCACATATAAATTCTTCACAACATTCACATGCTAATCATTCAATGCACCAACCAAATCATCATAATATGGGTGGTGGACATGCAGTAAAATTATAAATAAATTTTTTATTCAAGTTATATTAATTCATTTTATCCTCTGGGAAATCATTTATTAGCATCTGTTTTGTAATTAACTCTTAATTTTATTCTTTTTTATGTGATCTGCATGCAATTGCCCTTCCAGGATGTATAAAAAAATTTTTTGTTAGGCACTTTAGCCTGGGTAAGGGTCTACAATGTACAGGTTTTTATTGCCTCCTATTCCTGTCTGTAGAATGGGTGGGTGGATTTTAAATATTTTATGGGCAAAAAGGCCAGAACAGAATTTTATTTTTTAATTAAAATAAATAAACAGCCAATTAAAATAATTTTTGAATATTGGGAATGGGTATGTTAAACACAATTTTTAGATTAATGGGTTCATGATTGGGTGATTTTTTTTAAAAAAAACCATGGATAAGAGGTTAGGGTTGAAAATCAAAACAAAAAGTGGGTGGGCTTGTTTGGCTAAAACTGCACATTGCAGATCTATAAGTAATGTTGTTAAATGGCTAGATTTGAGTCAATTTTTAGAAATGGCTAACTTCATATTTTAACCACACAAATATTGCCTATGCCTTGAGATTTCACTATAGATGTCCAAACCTTTGTGCCATCTAACAGCAAAATATTCAGGCTTGCATAATATTTTTCTGAATTATTAAGTTAGCTGTTCTTAAAAATTGGCTCAAATCAAACCGTTTAACAACACTACCTATAAGCTGGGGTATATAACTTTTTTGTTAAAATGATTTTGAAATGGTATAGGAAATATGAGAAGTGAATGAACATGAATATTATTCAATTATACAATAAATTTTTGTTTTATTTTATTATTTTATTTCATCTATTTCTTTTATGTATATCACAATTTAAAATATTCGGCCTGGAGATTCCTTTACTCCATAAAAATTTGTCTAGTTTTTATATTATTTAATTAGAATTTAGGCCATGCTCAGGTCTAAGTTAAAACTTTGAACTAGAAGGGGGGCTAAAACTTCTGTTGGGCCTAAAAATCATTCAAAATTTAAGGGCGGGTGGCTTGGTCCAAAAATATATAAATTTATAGGGCTCTATTTGTGATGCCACCCTGGCCTAGCAAATGAGGTGATAACTGATTGATATTCCCCTTTCAAATATATATATTAAGGAGTGTTTAATCCTTTGAATACTTTTTGATTCTCGAATTAAGATGTTTTTCAATCATAAATGAAACTTGTAATTTATATTCTTGTAAATAGGAGTAGTAGAGATAGCATGACCTGACCTGTGAAGATTTTGAAAGAGTTTTTTTTGACCTATACCAGTCCAGAAAAAATATTTTTTTTAGCTATCTCTCTAGTCTCTAATTTATTTTTTTGGACTAAACCCCGTAGAAATTAATTTATTAAATGAAAAAATCATAAAATTTTAAGGTTTTATAAATGTAAAAATTCCATGGTCCAAAAAAATAATATACAAATTTTTATCCTGATACCCTGATTAATTAATGTATGGTAATAAGTACCGTTACTTATTACAGGGTCGATGTGGCCCCAAAACTGGGCACAAAATTTTGGGTTGGGGTTTGTACACTGGACTGAAAGCCACAGGTCAGATCTAAAAAAGCCTGTTAAAAATATTCCACTGGCATCTCAAACACTTATAGAAAAAAAAACACATGAAATAACTTATTTATAAAAATTCATCAAAATGCGTTTTTTTTTAAAATTTAAAATCTAATTTTTTAGTTAATGTAGAAAAAAAGCTAATCATAAATAAATACTAATTCCTTGACGGTATCATGTTAACCCCGGTGTTGAAATTTTTTTTTTGATTTATAAGTTTTTTTTGTACATTATACGATAAGAAATATAATTTTCTCGGAAATTTTTGTGCGACATTTGAATGTAAATTTTTATTTTCAATGTCCATAGTTTGTCCTTGAGAATTTAAATTAATTTTTTTTTTTTAAAAAATGATTTATTGTTTTTTTTTAAAAAAAAAAGAAAGAAATGAAATGAAATATGGAATTAAAATTTTAGATCCTTCTTTTACTAGAGGATTAAAGAAAATTTTAGATCCTCTTAAAAATAGATAAGAAGAAGAATCATAAAATTTTGAAATGATACCCCATATAAATCAGCTGTACTTTTGTTTCCTGTAGATTTTTTTTAGAAGAGGTGCTTCAGTTCCCGGTTATCGGGTTCGGTTCCAAACTCGGGATTTAAGGAATAAGCAAAATACATTAGACGGAACGTAACAAGCGATAATTAATATGTATGTTTATTGAACGGGTAGGGTCCTGCTGGGATGGCCACTCAACCTGACGTTAAGATCATCAATAAAATCCGGCTCCCAAGAATATTAAACATAATATTTCCTTCCCATTCTTTTCCCCTTTTTTGCCTGTTTTATAATGTATTTTATATAGAAAAGTTTAAAAAATAGAAATCTAGCGGGTGGGAAGTATTTGCCCATATTTAGTTAATTAAATAGAATAAAAATCATAAATTTTTCAAAGTTATTTGCTATATTTAAACTTTTTAACCAAAAATTAGGGCAGCGGACATAATCGGGCTGTCAGGTCTCTAATACTGGTTATAACCTTAAATAATGTAGAAAATAAAATCAGCCTTTGGGTGGGGGGGGGGGAATAGGTTTGAATCGAAATCGATTCACAAAAATATTAATTTGAAATTCACTGGACTCATTCCTTGTTTATATTCAAAATCAATCAGTGTAAGTGAACCAACCACAAGGAAGATATGGATTAAACACATTTGACTGTTACTAAGGACACTATTCAGACATTATATTATAAGGTATTTAATAGTTAGATTTGATATGCAAGAAAGAGCCGATCATAATATTGACCAGTTGTGGTTAGGAGATAGATGGTATGCTTTGGCATGGTCCTCTGAGTTGGTTGGCATAGTTCAAGTCAGAGTTGGCAAGTCGGTCAATTGACCGAAGGAGTATTTAACCTGGTCAAATATTCTAAAATGTTATTGGTAAATTAATATATTGATTTAATTAATTAATATTGCATTCGAATCATGTTTATCAATCTAATTAGGTTACGATATATTAAAAAAAATATATTTGTATCATCTAGGCATCGATTTAATTATAATTTTATATTTGAAATATAAGATTTTCATATTAAAATATCGGAGTTTCATTTTGAAATATAAAAAAAATAAAAGAATTTTTTATCATTAATAATTTGATTGGATATCAATATATATATTGATTAAATATAATAATTTTAAAGCATGATTTGAAAAAAATTACAAATTGCCAGTTTATATTATACATTATGTAAAATTACCCAAATAAGGTGGGTATCGTCAGTAAAATGTAAGGAGCAAAATGTAAGAAAGCTCTGAAAGCAGCTGTTGAGGAAGTTGGATATTTGTCCGAAAGAAATTACCGATAATATATTAATTGAAGAAATATTTTGGACCCATTCTTTAACATTTAGCTATTCTTATTGTTGTAAGTGTGAAGGAATAAATGTACTTTATGGAAAACAATTCAATCATGCCACGATTTTATAATTTCTCTACCTGAAGATAAAAAAAATAATCATTCTAAATACATGCGCTCACACAGCTGATTAATTATTGGATCTCTAGTATAAGGGGACCATCTTATTAGTAGCGAGCTTGTGATGAAGCATGTGATATAATATAAAAATTAGGCATTTGATTGATATTAAATTTCAGAAGTAAAAAGTAGCTGTATTATATTTAATAGGCAAAAATATGTGGAGAGCAGTAACTTTCATAAAAGATTATCAGATTTTAAGCCTCAAATTTTTTTGGAATGGGCTTTGCCCACCTTGAACCTTAAGAGAAATGCCTAATATAAGTGTTGCTAAACTGTTCAGTTTGACCGATTTTTGAAAACGACTAATCAATATTTTAGCCAAAGAAATATTACCTAAGGCTCCAGATTTCGATAATAGATGTCTAGACCTTTGTACCATCTATGAGCAAAACCTTCAGGCACGAGTAATATTTTTTCTGGATAAAATATTGAGTTGGCGCCGTTTTTAAATATCGGCTCAAATCCGAGCCGTTTAACGACACTACCGAATATCTTACTAACAAGTTCAAGTTTATACTTCTTCTTTTTTTAGAAAGAAATTGGTCGGTTTTGAGATAATATTCATTTCGAAGAAATGAAAATCGATCGAAAATCTCGACTGCAGGAAAATTGTTAAGAAGTATTTAGATCAAACTCTGCCCACGGAGAGCGAAGCATTCATTATAGATTTTGAAAGAATATAAAGTTAATATCGTCTTAAAAAAAACATTTATTCGAATTCGACCATATTTGATCGGTCAATTGACCAAATCATATTTGAGCGGTAAAACGCTACACCCTGGTTCTGGTTGTCTCAGTTCCGGTAATTTGCATAACCGTCATCGTCGGGTTGTGGTTAGAGGATAAGTTATTTATGCACATGCTCGATTAAGATTAGCTATAAAAGATTTTTTAAAAATTTTAAACCTTCGCATACCCTAACCGGGTAACATTCGGTATTCCTCCGCGTACATCCCTTCATTAAATACTATGTTTTAATAATGATTTAAAAATTTCATTTTTTTAATTTTTATTTTAAGATGACATTTCACGGCGGCCACCATCAGGTGCTATTTTTCGACGCTTGGAAAATATCGACACCTACAAGTTAGTTAATTTATTTTTTTTTCTTTGTAATCTCGAATTTTCTTTTTCTCCAATGTTTTATTCTTTTCTTCACTTTTCGTTTAAATTATTTTTTTTTAAAAATTTAAATTACATTTTGCGTTTTTCCTCTATGCAAATCTAAAATAAATCCTACTTTGATTAATTTTATTCTTTCTTTTGCCCTTTTTGTTAATCTCTTATTTCTTCTTTTTACAATTCTTATTTTATTTTATTTCTTTCATTTTACAATTCTTATTTTATTTCTTTCATTTTACAATTCTTATTTTATTTCTTTCATTTTACAATTCAATTTATTATTTTTATTAATAATTAATTTTTACCAAAAAAGGCTATAAATATCCTTGACATTTTCTAATTAATTAATTTTAACGAGTATAGATTTTTTTCATTCATATTTTCCTTCCTTCTCTTTTCATAATTAAATTATGCTTTCTAATAAAATAAAAATTAAAATATTATATTAATATATGGGAATGGATAGATGATACGAGTAAAATTAATTAGCCTAGATTTGTTATTATACGAAATAAAGACATTTCGTATAAATGAATGATTATACCAAATTTATTTTACAAGTATCTATTAAGTAACTTCAAATCAACTTCCTGTCAAAAAGGACAAAATTCTAAAAAAAAAAACTTAAAAATTTATCTTTGTCAAAATTTTACAAAGTTTTTGTCTTTAAAAATCAAGGACCTTTATAAATGACATTTTTTAAAATCGTTAAATTTATTTATTTTTTATATCATCTTTATAATACATAAATTTATTATTTTATGACCTTAACGCGTGTAAGTGTTGTCAAAACCTCGAATTTAAGGTGATTTCGACAAAATCGTATTTGGCCAATCAAATATTATATCTTGACCTCGAGATTTCGCTAAAAGAGTGTCAAACCTTTCTAACCACGTGTTTTGACTTAATCTTGAGGGTTAGGTCATACCCCCTTTTTTTAAAAAAATATAAATAATCGAAGTTTTCAGCACTAAAATGAAATGTGCAGTGCATTCTCGTTTAGTGGTGTTTAAACGGCTAGAGCCGGAAAAACGCTACGCAAGCCTGAAAATTTTGGCCATAGATGGCACAAGGGTTTGGACATCTATAACAAAATCTCGAGGCTTTATTGGCTAAAATATTGGGTTAGCCTTTATAAAAAAAAAATCGACTCGTTTAACAATATTCTAATCGTCGTCCTATTTAGAGGGTTTTATTGCATCTCATTGGCATTAGGACAGTTAGATATTATCAATGAAAGCTCGTGGGTTAGGTCGGAAGTTTTCAAATTTTTTATCTGAAGTTGCTTAGAATTGGGTAATTTTGTGCCCCCTTTAAAATTTTTTTTTTTATTACGGGCCGGGCGCACCTTGTAAAATATTTATTTTATGGTAGTTCGGATCAAAATTTGAAATGAGTTCATTTTGCAAGTGTACTCTCGTTTCAGTTTTGTGAGTCGAAGTTTCTAAGAGACCAATAATTTTATTATTTGAGCTTTCCATCTGGTATTAACGCAAATAGCAAAAATCACTTATTTACCTTAAAATTTTTTTCATCTCTTTTCTAAAACAACATTTAATGCCAACTAGCGGATAAAACTTTATTAAATTTTATAATTTGCTGATAAATATTTGAGACATTTCATCATTATAAAAAATAATGATGAAATGATCCAATGTATAAAAAAAGCTTTTTACTTTCCTTGATTTTATGTTTTTGATCTTCCATATATTTCTTTCCTAAAAATTGATATAAAAAAACAAGATAAAGCAACTTTGCTATTAATATTATTATATTTTATAACATTAAATTCTCATTTATAATAATTAAAAAATTTTGCCCTGCAAAATGGAGACAAAAAACTGAAAATTTTGAAAATAATACGAAGAAAACGAAAAATGATTCGTAAAATTTTTTTTTTGTTATGCCCTTAAAAGGGGTTCGGTGTCGTCAAACACATATGATTTTTATATAAATCATGTTAAATATATATATCCTTAAGATATCCCATATATTTATTAATTTTTTGAAGGAAGGATTGATTCGCATTCTAAATGCGATTTACCCAAGGAAATTCTCACGAAATTCGATAATCATTCATGGTTTGAGCCGCTCTCCCATCTAAACCTGGAGGAATCGGGATTCGCTATTCATTAACACTCTTATTACGAGTCCGTTTCCGCAAAGTTAGCTGGGGAATGGCGGTTTCTATCAAATAACCTATTATTTGGTCAGGCTACTGGAGCGATTTGATATCAATTCTATTTCTACGATGAAACCCACAACATCCCTACAAATAAAACAAATTGGGATGCTTCTTTAAGCTGCTCGCTCCTCTACTTATCTATTATCGAACTATCATCTAGAGAACAACCCTAACATCTATCAATATTACCCTCCGAGGAGTCTGTTCTCGAATGGCTGGGGTTTGGATTTATCAGCAGAACAAAATATCAATAGCCCTTCTCTTCGGTCGCGATATTTTAGCCCTTACTGTACATGTAGATTTACGCATAAACTCTCGCCTTGGCATGAGACGGGATATCACGTGTATCGAATCTTCGCGAAATTCGACATATCCTCATTAACAAGTTTCCAGACCGAAAAAGGAGAAACATATTCTCTTCATTCCAATGATCATTTCCACGCTGGGGACTCTCCTCTCTGATACTCAGATATATTCTTTAAAAACAAATGGCCAGGCTTATGACGGGTGCCCTGCTTTTCTAATTAAAATTAAATATATTGCTAGCATTTAACGCCAACTAACGGACAAAATTATATTAAATTTTAACTATTGTGTAAGTGTATAACCTTTCGAAACATGTATAACTATAAAAATATTGAAAAGAAAGAAGGATGAACCTATAATAAATAATTTATTTTATTTAATATAACTAACTTTTGCAGAATAATAACAACCTATATATATATTCTTATAAACTAAAATTAGAATACAATATTAAAAAAAAGGTAAAACTAAAAATAAAAAATATAATTTGAATAAACATAATGAATGTACGTTATATAAATTAAAACATATTACTATTCAATAACCAATTTTTAATTTATTGATTCCTATAATGTAACAAAAATATGTATACCCTTTAGCGTATATAAAATACATAAAAACTATTGTAAAACTTATACATGGCCTGACTTTAGATATCCGATAACATTTTCAGAATTAGAAGGAACTCGAATCATAATTGTCCATCACATTCTCATAAATATTCTTAATATAAGTAACATTGTTTCTGAATTGCAAAACATCATCCATCGGCTATAATTGATTAGCATCTATTAGATTCAATTTTCTTTATAAAATTTTTTTTTTAATAACTATATTTTTAGTTAGCATGTCAATGTGTTAATTTTTCAACTTCAACTCATTTTTTGAGCGCGGTTTTATAAAAATATTTATATATCTGATTTTACCGGAAATGCGTGCCGCCATGTTTGGAATACTTTAACAAATTTCAGACAATTTTCCCGAGAACTTATAAAACTTTATATAATTTATATTGTCATTTTTCCATATATTTTTTTTATGTAAATTATAAATAACGTCAAAGGTCAAAGGCAAAATTGTCTACAATTCATAAGATAGGTATTCCAAACACGATAGAATTATACTTCCGATAAAATCATATATTTTTTTTAAATTTAAATTTAAAAAAACGCGGTTAAAAAATGATTTTAAAAGTTGTAAAAATAATACATTGGCGGATATGAAAACTGGTTCTGATTCTGCAATAAGTTTTGGGACAGGCTTATTAGATTGACGGTCTATCTATTCATATATGTTAAATTGCATGAGAGTCAGCTATAGACGCAACTAAGGTCCTAGACATAAAATAACAATAAACCTATATTTTATCGTTTAATATTATATTCTTATAAAAAAAAATTTTTTAAATTAAAATGTAATTTAATCAACATACCGAATCATAAAAAGTGTGTGTATACCTTGACTTATGTGAAGTACACCTTGAAACGCACTTTAATAAAATGAAGGGCCAATATATATAGTATAAGGAAGACCCAAGGTGACGTAGACAAATGTGATAGCGGCGGATATGAGAAGCATGAATCTTACAAGTATTGATGCTCAGGACCGTCAAAAATGGAAAAGAAAAATCAGAGGGAAAACTGGCCCACCCGGGTAAACCTGGAAATCGCCTTAAAACGGAGAAGAAGAAGAAGAATATATTTAGTATATAAATAGCGGTATTTTAAATATACCCGGGCCGGGCTTAAAAAATTTCAGGTTGGGCCGGATATTTAGAATCGCCATTTATTAGCCATGAAGATTAAAAATAAATATAATACATTTTTTTTTAAAAAAAATATGGGCTGGGCCTTGGAAATATAAAACCCGGACCGGGCTGAAAAAAAATCCGGGCCGGGCCGCGCAGATGGTAGCTCTCGCAGGTCTTCTGATAAATATCGTTGATTACCAAAATCTACAAAGAATATAGAGGGAAAATTTTAAAAAAAAAAATAAAAAGAAAATGTTATATTGATTTTGTAGTCAAATTACATAACGCATAATTGATTACAAAGATATCAAAACGCAGTTTATTTATAAAATCCATTTTAATCTAATTTTATTACCAAATTTGAATTATTGAACGAGAGGTGAGAGTTGAGTTGTTAGCCGGTCCGATTCGGGCTCCATTTAGTGGACCCGATCCGACACGATTTAACAGCTGATCGATTTTTAAAATCGGTTTATGAGAACCAATTTTTTCTTTGTTAAAACCTAATATTTTTTAGGTTATTATCGTGTATAGAATTAAAGATAAAATTAATATTATTTTTAAAAAAAATTGATAAACAGATTTTAAAAATCGATCAGCTGTTAAATCGTGTCGGATCGTCCACTATGAATGCGCCCTTTAGCCAGAATAATGTTATGTAAGCCTCGAGATTTGGCTAATGGAGACCCAAAACTTTTTACCATCTACGAGAAAAATTATCAGATTTAGATAATATGCCTTAAAAAATCGACCCATGTCGGTTTATACTAAATTTACTACTTATGACTGCCCATCATCATACCAATGTCCCAGAACATCGAGTTAGATTTCAGTCGATTTATGGCGGGATCACCATATTTCCTTTATTGCATTATCATTCATTACTAATAATCTTTCTTCCATTCTCCATTTTTTTTTAAAATTCATTCTTTTTCAATATTTTATTCATTTATCCTTGAAGCCCTATTCTACGCCTGTTTAGGCGTGTTCGTATTTTCGGTGCTTTACGAGGGTCTCAAAGTTTTCAGGGAACACCTGATGTCCCATCCTTTATTCGCTTCCTCCAGACGATACCCTTCCCTTTTCTCCAAAGTTTTTCACGTCTCCCAAAGCGGCGATGCGGGTATGGGCAAAATTCGTCACGAGAGCGGTTGTTGCGCGACGCGACTCCGACCCGAGCAACACGTTTCTCGGCATATGATAGTCGGGGACGGGGTGGACGATTCTCCGCCATACAATAAGTTCCAGGAGGATAATGGCCCAACAAAGAACTATTCCGACTTCAACGTACAAGGTTTCAGGTCTTGCGATTGCAAAAGCAGGTTTTTATGTCCTTTTTAACTAAATACTTCTTTTTTTTTTAAATGAACTAACGGTCAGCCATATTTATTCTCTAGATAAACTTGTCAGCCAATAAGAGAATTACTTTTAAAAAATGGAGGGATAAATATAATGGTTTATGCATTAAAAATGTTTCGGTATTTTTTTTAGCCCGACATTTTCCTTATTCGATCACATACTCCAATCCTTGATTCACATCGTCCAAACCGGCCTGGGCTTTATGTTAATGCTGATATTCATGACCTTCAACGTTTATTTGTGTCTAGCACTCTTGTTGGGAGCCGGGTTCGGTTACTTTTGCTTCGCCTGGAAACGCAGAATCGCCATAGTGGACGTCACTCAACATTGCAATTGATTGACAGCTCTATCCCCCCGCTTTTATATTTACACAAGAATAAATGTATAACAATCCCCACCCCACCTTCCATTTATTATAAGTCCTTGTTTTTTTTTTCTTATGATTTTTGGATAATTTCCGCCATTTTATATACTTTCCAAAATATCGAGTCAGATTTGAGGGGGCAATATTTTAGTTTTAAAAGAAAAACTCAAAAATTTAAAAATACTTTTGATGTTATAAATTTTCGCTTATAAATTTTTATAAATAATTTAACAATAAATTAATTATTTGTTAGAAAAAAAAAATTGTTTCAAATATAAATATTTTATTGAAACATTTTACAATAAAAAATATTTATTTTAATTAAAATACTTTATAATTATTATATATTTTTTTTAAAAAAAAATATTGCTTTCCTTATAAATCCCCTACTAATTTTCCTTATTGAAGGCCACGTCATCCTTTATGACCGGAAATGAGTTTGTCGCGAAATAAACTTTTGCGACATTCTCTCTAATTGCTTACTTATACTTTTTATTGTTTATGATAATGCGATTGAAAAAAATATCTGTCCAAAATATAATTTTTTAGCAAAATGCGAAAAAAAAAAATTTTTTTTAAAGCGAATATAGCAATTATATATATATTATTAATTAAAACATTTATTTTTTTGGATTTCGCAAAAAATAAAATTATTATTAATTTTTTTTTCTAAGAAAAATGCACTCGAAATCAAAGTCTTTCTTTTTATATTACATATATTATATTTATTTTTATTTCATTTTGCTATGGGCCAAAAATAAAAAAATATTTTGTTTTTGTGTACATTTAATCAAATTAGAGGAAAACTTTTTTAACGCGATCACGTGATACGGAAAAGGCACTTCCCTCGTTTATGTTCTTTTCGAGAATTTTATTTTGATACGCGTACGACGAATTAATAAATTGATTGATGAAACTATAATTTTTTTTTATTTTCCTATTTGCCTAGAGGATATATATAAATAAATTTTTTTCTCTCCCGAATATAAATTACATAATTTAAACAAAAATAATAATAAAGTAGGGTAAGTACACAAAAAAATTGAATTTAGTTTTTTGTACTGTGTCCTAATACTATTTTTTATTTTTTTTTTACAAATTTGTGTTAGTTCATTTTCAAACACCTTATTTTTCTATCAATCATGAGAGGATAGAAGGGCGGGGATGTGACAAAATATTTTGGTATAATATATATATATATATATATTATATATATATCAGAAACCTGCAGAATTGGCCCTAAGCCCGGTCCGCTGAAATTTTTTTAATAAAAGCCAGTCCGATCCCGAAAATATATAACCGGGTAGGGCTGAAAAAGTTTTTTGAAAAAAAAATCCGGGCCGGGTCGTGTAAATGGCACCTCTGCAGGTCTCTGATATATAGATATGTTTAAATTTTAGGTCGTCATTTAAATGTCCATTTTTTTTTACTCTATACCTTGGCTACCTTTTATAACGTTATGACCCACACTTCTTCGGAAAATCACCAAACGGCAAAATTTTTTCGTGAAAAACTTTCTTACGCTTCATTTCGTCATTATAGTTCTACGCAAACTCCGAAAACATTTTTTCGTGATTCCATGAAAAAAATCAAAATTTATTTTTTTCTTTGGTCCATCATCCATTCGATTATCTTATTTTTTATAGGTTTATAGTGCGCACAAATTGAACGTTTCAACGCAACTTTTTAAAACGCAGATAATGCATTTTAAATGCATTCGTTTAAATTGACAGCATTTTTTGTTTTAAATTTAGACGTTTCATGTGCGCATGCACACTATTATACTTAAAACAAAATAATTCGATTCGAGGGGGAAAAAATATTCTTAGTCGAATAATTTTTCTATCCATTATTCATAACTATTTAACATGTTCCTTGCGGAACTTTTATCTAATTTTTTTTGACCTTATTCAAACCTTATAAATCACCTTCCGAATTTTTAATGATTAATTTAATTTTCAAATCGAATAATGTTTTTATTTTACCTAACGAATAAGGGGCTCATTTACCTCCAAATATATTTTTAATAATTTTAAGAGATATTGCTGTTAAAATCTATGGACAATTTAATTTCAAAAGAAATAGATGGTTCCGAGGAGTCCCGGAAATTGTTAAAAGCAGCAAGAGAAGAAGCAGAACACAGATAGGGAGAGATGTTACAAGAGCCCACAAAACAGACGCCAGCCGAATAGACAATGGAGATCAGAGGTGGGTATTGCAGGGAACACACTATAATCATGTCCAGCGTAGCCCCAAATTCCCGGGCAAAAATATTTTTATGGTGTGACTAAAAAAAATTATCAATACCCCCAGGGATAATAATTTTGCGCCAAATCAAAAATCTTTTTAAAAACACCAATGGGATGGGTAGTGGGGGGGGGGCAATCTACGCGAGTCTAATAAAAATCGGATTATCTATCCATGATTAAACGTATACAAAATGTAAGCACTTTCGGAAATTTTGTTTTTTTTGAGAAAATCGCCATTTAAAATTTAAAAAAAAACTCGATTTTGAGGAAGACAAATAATAAAATAACACCTAGCGCAATGCTTTTTGCTGATTTTATTCGACGCCCAAAATCCATTTTCAGCTACTACCCAAATATATTTCTTACTTTTTTAGTCAAGTATCGTGAGTAGGAAAAATATAAGGTTTGATCACTTTCTCTACTTTTTGACATAAATGGGCAAAATAAAATTTTATTATCAAAATTATGTAAGCAATAAAAGTGAAAAAAAATATATATACTAATATAGGTTTACATTTATGATTGCCTATGTGTGCAAAATGATCAATCAAGATTTATTGAGATATATTTCATATTATATTAGCTATGAGAACATGATCATATAGATAGATAATACAATTAACTAATATATAAATAAAAACTGTATAAAAAAAATTCAAAAATTTATATATATTTTTTTAAGATTCTGTAGATACTATAATGTAAATGTGATGTCTATAAGTCCAATTAAAATATTATATCCATCAAAATGGGAGAATAAAAATTAAGGTATATTTTGATTTTATTAATTTTTTAAAATGCATAGTTTTATTAAGTAATAAAAATATTTTTAATATATGTGGCTAGCACTAAGGTGAAAATTACAATATTAAATTTTCTTAAATAAGCCTCCTTGGGTATAAAATAAAACATGTAATTAAATTCAAGGAAGTGGAAGGATATGTAACAAAAAAAAATATGTGTATGTTTTTAAATATTTTCTATCATTTTGTTAGTTGGTATCACTGACAGCATGTCTGTCCACTCATCTCCTGTCTATCCATCTCGTCATTGTTCAGCAAATTTCCGAGAGCTCCTTGACCAGCACCATCTCTACCACTAGTTGATAAGGAGGATTGAGGGATGGATGCTAAAAAGAAGACCCAATGTCCTACTGATAATCCAATGATTGTCGCTCCACAAAGATAAAGGTTGTAAGTCATGAATATCAACATTAATAAAAAGCTGATAGTGGTGTGAAGAGCAAATAGGGCAGTCAGGATTGGTTTAAAGGACCAGGGGGGCAGATTCGACTTCAGAATATTTGGACTTTTGGTTAAAAAAAATTTTATTTTAAAATGGAGTTTAACAAATAAAATCTTCATTTTTTAAAGATATTTTATAAATTTCAAGAAACTTACTGTGAACATATCTGAGGGTCATTATTTGCAGGTTGGTTGGTGGTTTTGCTTTCAAATTGAGCGGGGGTTAAATGTTGAGATGAATCATCAGATATGATATTTGGGTAATAGGTCTGGTTGTTTTTCTTAAAGCAGCAATTACAATTTTTGTTGGTGCAACGTAAACGGTATTGGGATGTTAACCTGATCCTTAAATATCTCAGAAATTCGTGGAAGATTGCTAATATTAAAACCGCAAAGCAGGATCCAAGGAATTCTAACAATAATAATTTATATTACATAAATATCAGAGAGATGCCAATAATCATTGGTCAATATTGGTATCAGCTAGAGCTCTGCATAGAACCTATTTTTGAGTTCTGAGATTCTAAAAAGATTACTGTCCAACCAATTTAATTAATGGCATTTTTTTTTAAATTTAAGTCCAAACCAAAATAATTTCTTTTACTGGTCTTTTAAAAAAGTATATTTCAAGGTAACTAACAATAATCATAAGTGGGGCAATAAACAATTTGATATTTATTCTTAAATATAAAATTCCCCCAATAAGAAAAACAAAATAATTTTAAATTATATTGAGATCCAAGCCTTTATCGGAGATAAATTGTAAAAATCAAGGTCAGGAGAGTGAGTCCAAGAAAATATTTGTCTTAGCCCTGAACAAATCCACACTCAGACAAGTTGAAATAAGATTGGTTCATGCATGCAGAGAATAGTATCAGCCAATACTTTAAATTTGACACCAGTGGTTGATACCAAAATATTATAATTATTCTTTAAAGTTTATATTAAGCTATGATAGTGTTGCTAAATGACCCAATTTAGGTCGATTTAAAAAAAATGGGCTAATTAACATCTTAGCCAAAATAATATTATGTAAGCTGGAGATTTTACTCATAGATTGCATACCAAATCTCAAGATTATAAAAATAGGACAGTTTCTGAAAATGGGTCATTTAACAACATTAATCTAAGAATTATTTTTATTTAAATTATGTTAGCATCTATAATATTAATATCAACTCTAAAAAAGTGCTATCAGTTTTATTTGGGCTAAATGATCATGATCCTTACATTGATAATTCCAGGGAATCCTAATTTTGGCAAATTACGATCCTTTAAAAAAATGAGAATCAAGATCCTTTTATTAATGCTTAATTTTTTGATCCTTAAAAATTTTTTATTTTAGTTATACATAAAAATATATATATTTTAAAATTAAATTCTTATTAAATAATTTATTCCACAATTTAAAAGTCCATTGGAAGGTAGAAATACAAAATTTGCTCCATTTGTGCTGATTTTTTAAATGGCTAATTCAGTATTTTATTCAGAAATATATCACGCAAATCTGAAGATTTTGCTCAAGTGTTTGGAGGAAATCTCGAGACTTAGGAAATATTGTCATTTTTGAAAATTGGCCTAAATTAAAAAATTTTGCAACACTGGAACTAACAAAATTACATTTGAAGCTACAAATTAATGAATATTAAAAAAAAATTGTTTTGTCTATTATAATCGAAAAGTATTGGGATAAAAATCCTTTTAGAAAAAGATTTTAATCCTAGATTGCAATTCCATTTTTTTTGAAAGGATCAGAATTTAATGTTATTTAACATTTATTTAATAATTAAAACAGTTTAATACCTGCAATGTTTTGTGACTTCCAATTTTCAAAAAGTATTCGATCATTGATTCCAAAATGAAAATAATCTTTCATCATAATGCTTGTATTTGGTAAGAATATTAAATAGTATTTTAATTAGACAACAAAATAATGAGTTTTTAATATTAAAATATGTATTTAGTATATTTATTTATTCGATAGAGGGGATTGACAATTCAATTATTTGTCTGGGAACTATGCCTTCATCATTATTATAACAAATATTATATATAAAATTGTTTTTCTTGTTTAATTTAAATTCTGTGAGCATTTTCAGGAATAAATGAACACTCCCACCAACACCAAAATAATGGGATTTAGCTGCTATGTAAATTTTTCCATCGCTCTTAATATAATGTTTAAACATGTCATGTAATTTGGTAAAATTGTCAAGATTATAAATTGTTTCAGATGTCAGTATATAATCATATTTCATTGGGATTAAATCCATATGGATAATTTGGCCCCAATCACCATAAACAAAATTACATCTATCATTCATTTCATTCAAAATAAAATCTGGATTTGCAAAATCAACATTATTGTAAAGATTAAAGAAATTAATCCAAACATTAGGAATTGTAAAATTTAACATAACATCATGATTGAAATCTTGAAAGCATATATTTTTGGCACCTTCCATTAAAGCATTTATACCCAAAAGGCCAGACCCACAACCCAAATCAAGAACTGATTTATTTTTAAAATCAAGTTTTCCACTATAAATTAATAAATCTTCAGTACATTCCCAAATTTTAAAGCCACCCTCATATTCATTTGGTACTAAATCAGATTGTTGTGGAAGAGTATCAAATTTGTATGAATTAGTTAGATATCTTAGATTATTAATATGGTATAATGATGATTTTAAAATATTTTCATCAAAGGGCCCATACATTTTTATAATACCAGTTAAAATATCATTCATCCTTTTATCATTCTTTATATTATTTTTAATAATTTCTTCTTCTCCTTTCCCATTATTTATAAAATTAAACTTAAAAGACATGGAAATGAGATAATCTTATAAAAATAAAAATTTTAGGATTTACTAAATGCGTGTCTCGGAAACAGCTGAGTCGACTAATTGATTTACATTACGAAAATTTATACATGTGCTACAATTTGATAAACAGCAACTAATCTAATTTCATTTGTTAAATTATAATTACGATAATACATGTACACACAATTATTTCTATATAAAATCAAACCCCTTACATGAAAACAAAATTTTAGATGCATCATTAGCTAGGTACTAACGTAGGGCCATAGCTAGTAGAAGACCTACCTCCCATCACTATAAAAATTCTCATTATGTTATGTAATTTTTTTTAGATATATTATTTAATAGAGTTAATATGTTATTTTTAAATTGTTTACATGTAATTTTTTATATAATAATTAGATTTATTTTAAATTTGTATAAGTAATTTTTAATGAATTCATTAAAAATGGGTAGAGAATTAATATTACGCTTAAAAAAGAATATATAGATGATAGAGCCCTGCATATAACCTATTTTTTTTGGTCCAACCCAAATTTTTTAAATTTATTGTTAATATTCAATATGCAGATTCGAAATCTGATTTTTTTTAAACATATACCCTATAAAATGCTAAAAATAGGTTAGATTTGTGCCCAATTTTTATTATTGGACTATGAGAAAGAAGGATGTTTTAAAAATTTGGAAACATAATAAGTGCTGAAGTATATTAAACAATTTTGTGGTTATTTTTTAATATATTTTGTAGAAACTTTAATAAAATGATTTGATTAAGAATTAGTCATAATCCAATTAACAGAATTTCAATAAAAAATTGTAAAAGTTTTTTTGAGTAACTTCTATGATTGTATATGTAAAAATCTTTTATGATGTAACCATAAAAACAGATTAAAGCTCGAAATATTTATATTTAAATCTTTAACCCTTGATTGATATACTGTAACTGACTGGGGCATCGTAATATACTAGAAGACTTAAAATTGTTATCATATGAATGCGTTAATATTTCCCCACTGTTTTTTAGAACCTTCCTTTTTCTTAATAAACTATATCTCTGCAAATATCAATGTATTTTTATTTTATAGTTTTCGAGATATTAAATAGTATTCATTAAGCATTTGTGTAAAATCTATTTTTCAATTATTCAATATTGATTGAATAAATAATTTTTTAATTTTTTCCAGTTTTTTTTATTTTTTACATTAAAAATATACCTTATAAGTAGTGTTGTTAAACGGCTGTTTAAAAACGGCTAACTCAATATTTCATTCAGAATACAATTAAGCCTGAAGATTTTGTTTGTAGAAGGAACAAAGGTTTAGATATCTATAAACGAAACCTCAAGGTTTAAGCAATATTTTTCTGGCTAAAATATTGAGTTAGCCGTTTTTAAAAATCGGCTCAAAACGAGCCGTTTAACAACACTACTTATAAGTTATGATACTTATTAGCAATTTTTCCATTTTATTTTTTCAGCAAGTTTTGCTTTATATAGAATTTTTATTTATGATTAATTTTTTAAATTAATAACTAATTAGAGGTTAAAAAACATATGATGGTAAATATATGAATTCAAATTAAATTCTGATAAAGATAAAATAAATCGGTGAGAATTTGAATAAAGATGCTTGGAAAGATGATCTAATAAGTTTTTAAAATCATTTTCAAAATATTTTCAATAAATTCCCACAATTAAAATTTTTATTTATTTAAATATAATATTCTCCCATTTTCTGAGCCAATTAACCTGTGTATAGCAGAGCGAAAGCTGTTTTAAGCCCTCTCTTGTTTATTCGATCAAATTTTTGAAAATCAATTTGTTATAAATAAAAAAAATTATCAAAATAGAGTTATCTTTTAATATATTATGCATTTATTTTTAGCCGTTTAACAACACTACTTATAAGTTATGATACTTATTAGCAATTTTTCCATTTTATTTTTTCAGCAAGTTTTGCTTTATATAGAATTTTTATTTATGATTAATTTTTTAAATTAATAACTAATTAGAGGTTAAAAAACATATGATGGTAAATATATGAATTCAAATTAAATTCTATAAAATAAATCGGTGAGAATTTGAATAAAGATGCTTGGAAAGATGATCTAATAAGTTTTTAAAATCATTTTCAAAATATTTTCAATAAATTCCCACAATTAAAATTTTTATTTATTTAAATATAATATTCTCCCATTTTCTGAGCCAATTAACCTGTGTATAGCAGAGCGAAAGCTGTTTTAAGCCCTCTCTTGTTTATTCGATCAAATTTTTGAAAATCAATTTGTTATAAATAAAAAAAATTATCAAAATAGAGTTATCTTTTAATATATTATGCATTTATTTTTACTTGATAAAAATCATAACAATTTATAAAATCAGCAATAAAGGTAGCAGAATCTTCAAAACGCTTCTGTAAGCTTTTCAAATTTCAGGGATCTTATAAAAAATTTAATAATTGTTATATAATTAATCGCTTGAAATTGAAACAAAGAGAGTAAAAATAAAACCAATCACAATGATCAATGCACAGGATTGTCAGTCCGGTTGACGCTCCTAAATATCTGCGTGGGCTATATTCCATCGATCGAAAATGATCCATCCAATTATTAGAAACCTGAGAATTTTCTAAGGAGTTGCATTAAATTATACATTTAAAAAAATTATTAAAATTATTTTAATTTTAATTTAAGGGAATTATAAATTTGGTTAAATAATTACTTAAGGATCTAAATAGGAATAAGGTAGGTTTAAAAACTTGAATGATAATATAGGTGGAAGAGGCATTGGATATAACATTTTACCCTCTTGACGACTTAATATATTTTTTTAGATTTATATTAGAAAAATTAAGTAGAAAGTCAGACAAATCCGCTCGTCTATTCATTTGTTGTCACCTCTAAATCATAAACTTTATTTACCTAAACATATTATATTAAACCATTTCTATTTCTAGAAATACGTTCTAGCTAGCCCTATTATTCTTAATTTTGTTGAGCACATCTTTATTCAGAAAAGCAGCTGTTTTTTTTTGTTTTATTTAAACTTTATAAGAATATGACATAAGGTAATGATAGTTACAAAATATGGAATATATTTTTTTTTCTTTTTAGTTCAAAACAGGGGCGCCACTAGCTAAATGCTAAAGCACCACCTCTTTCAAAATTAAATTATCACCCATAAGCAAATTAATTAAACTTTATTTAAATAGCATTTTAAGAAATTTTATAGTCATTTTATTATTAAAACTTCCTTCTTTAAACAAAAATAAAATGGTGAAAATTCAACATATCATTATGATATGAAAATAAAATAAAGTTACATAAATATAATTATTGTTATTTTATAAATTTATTTCATGATCATACACGTTAAAATAATGAAAACACTTAATATACGTAACAACTTAAATATTCAAGGTAATTCCTTAATTGTTATCTCAATAAGAAAAGATGTACGGCTCGATTTTTAAAAACGGCTATCCCAATATTTTAGCAAAAAGATATTATTGGAGCCAGGTAATTTTTCTCATAGATGGTTGAAAGGTTTGATTTATTAACAAAATCTTGAGGCTTGCGCCATATTTTATGCTAACTGAGCCCTTTAACACTATCAATAAGTAAATATTTTCACTTGATAACTAAATTTTTTAATTTAATGGATGCATTTCAACCTCAATTTTATTAAGATAAGGGATTCCTATTCTTGACCAATTTTTAATTCAGTAAGAGGTATACATCTATTTATAAATGATTGTACATATTAAAAAAAAAACCAATTAACAATTTAAATATTCAAAGTAGTTCCTTAATTATTTAGGCATATAATCAAAATCTGAAAGATATTCCATAGACATAAACCCTGATGGAGGCAGGAAGTGGATTCATCCGCACCGATTGGGTACATGGTGACGAAGTTCCTTATAGATTATATATAAAAAAATTATAGACACTTTTTTAAAAGTAGATTAACACCTTTTAGCACCCCTTTTTCTAAAAAGCTAGCGACACCCCTGGTCCAAAAGTCGCATTCTATTCAAACAGGAAACCTACATATACATTTTGTTAGTTTAATTGAATCAAATTTAATAATGTAGAACATTTTGATTGTTGATGCAAATTTTTGAAATGTTGATGATAGTATTATTTAAACATTTTTTTATATTTTAACATTATAATTCTTTTACTAATGATTTTCGAAAATTTTATATTAATGGTTTTACCGTCCCTGCTAATACATAAAGTAAATTAATAATATTTAATTTAAAGGAGCTTAAATTTTCTCGATTATCCAAATATCTTGTAATTATTTGGTGTTATTGTTAATACATTAAGACGATAGGATAGGTAAGATAGCACATTTAAAATTAAACTAAACTAATCCAAAGTAAAACCGAAGTCAACCATTATAATTTTATTTCCCCTTGCACTTTTACTAACTAAGAATAGCTCTGAACTCATCTTGAAGGCAGTGATAGGTTCTGCCTCGAATCAATAAAAATATTTTTGAGCTTGTTATAAATCTGTTATTCCATTATCACAAATATTAACTTTTATTTTTGCTGTGTCAACTCAGCATGTTATTTAAATCTTTTTTTTAGGAAGCATCAGCTGTTAAAGAAATTTTGCCTAATTTAGACCTAGCCGTTAAGTATGATTATTTTAATTTTATGCAATTTTATTTATATATAACTCCTAACCCTGGAGTAGGGAAAATAAATATTCTATTCGCTCACTTGCAACTAGTATTGTTTAAAAACGGCTAACTCAATATTTTATTCAGAATAATATTACTACACAAGCCTGAAGATTTTAATCATAAATGGCACAAAGGTTTAGACATCTAATAGCGAAATCGAGGTTTGGGCAATAGCTAAAATATTCATAGCCGTTTTAAAAAATAGGCTCACGAGCCGTTTAACAATACTACTTGAAACACTATTTTACACGTTTTTACTTTTTAAATTTATTAATAAAGCGGCGACAGTTTAGTTCAAGACACTCCGATAGAATCCGTGAAGAAGGTGGAGGCCAAGATCTTGATTGATAAAGGTTAGGTACCATAATATAATTACCGTACCTTTCTTTTCCCATTATCAAAAAATCCGTTGTGCAATAGATTTTGCTTGATTAGCATTATACTGTACTTTGTAAGATGTAATGATGGGAAATTTTTAGGGTATTAGGCCTGTAGCCCGAAAGTTTCAGTTGAGAAAGGCGATGTAAAAAGTTTATTTAGAGTCAATATTTATTGAGGGTTACGAAGGATATATTGCAATAATTGGTTCCCATATTATTATTAGATTATTAACATAATAATTATTAATATTTTATAACGAAACAACATGCGTTTTGTTTGGCTTATCATTATTATGTATATCGTTTTATCTTTTGAAACCCCCTTTGAATTTAGTAGCAATATATATAGAATATGCACAATTTGTCAAATTGGGAGATAAATATATTTTTAAAAATATGCAAAAAAGGAAATTTATATCAAAAAAAATATATATTTGATGATTAATAATGTCACTTGTTAAAATAGAAATAAGTAGGGGAGACCAGTGGTAGTCGGCGCAAGGAATTTATAAATTTAGTGGATTTTATTTTAAAACCAGTAATATTTAGAAGCTAGGATTTTGTATGTAACAGCATTCTATAATATGTATAAATTTGATATTTCCCCACCTATTTAATTATATTAATGTGTTTTTAAGGTCAAAATTAAAAAAATCTACACAATACGAAAGTTTCTTAAAATATTAAAGTTAAAAAAAAAGTAAAATTTATATTATACGAAGATAGCTCTCTTTTGGTACTTGGGGAAGTTTCATAACTAATGTTGTTAAACGGATCGATTTAATCCAATTTTTATTACCGGCCAACTTCAATATTTTAGCTAGAAATATTGCCTAAGCTAAGAGATTTCGATAATAGATGTCCAAATCTTTATGCCATTTAAAAGCAAAATCTTTAGGGCTTGTGTGATATGTTTCTGGAGAAAATAGCTCAAATCGAGCCGTTTTAACAATATTTAAATATATATTTAAAAGGTATTAGTGATAGAAGCAACCTAAGTACTAGTAGATCTGAAACGGATTTAAATTGTAACGATAAGTGTTTTAACAGTGAATTTAATAAATTATTATAATATATATATATATTTTTTTTAAATTGTAAAATTAAATGTGGAATTTAATTTTTATGGGTTTTAAAAAAAAAATTATACATCTATTTTTTTCAAAAAGAAATAACCAATTTTGTATTAACGAATTTAGAATCGGCGATGAGAAAAGCAATTAAGAACAAGAGAGGTATATTCAGATGGATTACTAAGTCAACGAAAAAACCATAAGAAGATCCATTATTTATATAGCATTCTCCAAAATGTTTAACTCTTTTTTCGTTAATGCTGTATTTTTATTACGTATTAAAATTTAATTAAAAGATATTTATATTTCATCACGTGGTCATTAATATTTAAAAAAGGAGAGGGGGTGGATTAAAATTCTCTTGATGTGGTGAATGTAGAGACGCTAGCTGCTATGTATTAAGTATCGAAACCTAATAAAGTATCTTTAGATACTTTTACATTGTTAGATAATAGATATAATATAATACATTATTTTTTTTAATTGAGGCAATCTTTCGTAATGAATTTCTCGTTTGCTAATGTATCCAACATCGAGTTGGAATTTAGAAATTAAAAACCCATTCTTTTCTTCAAACTGGATTTTCAAGTAATTAAAAAATTTAAAAAAATATATATTAAATACGTCTAATTTGTTTATTTATTATAATTGTAACTAATTTCACTATTTGTAAATAATAATTTAAATTTATTTAAAAATGTTTCTAATTTCATCTTCATCAGATAAAGTGCAAATTTTTTGCATAAATAAATGAATAAAGTACATTAATTAAATAGAATGACTGTGATTAGTTTTGTCAAAAATAGAAAAACGAAAAATATTACTTAAGCCTCTAGATTTAGTCAAAAGAATGGCAAAACGGTTATCTATATGCTAAATCCAGCTAAATACAAATAATTTACCCTTTTTAAAAATCGGTATTATCTAGGTTTTCGACAATGATAATAGAAGTTATAAACATTAATGTAATGAAAACTAATTATTACATATATATATAATCCCATTTTTATGAATAAAAAACAAAATGTCCGGCAATAATTTAAAAAAAAAATTAATTAATCATCTTTTCGAAAAAATATAATTAGAAATATCCCGGTGGATGAGTGGAAGAGATGTGAGATTTTGAGAATTTGGTATTGGGAGATTAAAAAACCTAAATATAAAATAGAAATAAAAATATAATTAAATACTAATATCTCATATACTAAATCTTTATTAAATATTAATAATTAAATATAATTTAATCAACATAAAATATACATAAAAATAAAAGTAAAAATTAAGTTTTTAATTATAAAAATTGTGTCTTTTATATAAAATTAAACATCATCCGATTATAACATAATACATTTCGTCGATTATAATTCAACTTTAAATCATTATTCAAAAATTTATATAAACCCAATATCTTTTCTTTTTTTCATCACAAAACAAGCATTTACATAGTGTTTAATACAACAAACTTGAATAATCTTGAACTTTATTATTCATTTTTCTTTAACTCATTTGAATATCACAACAGTTAGGCATTTATATATTATAAGTTAAGAAAGGAAGGAAGGAAGGAAGGAAGGAAGGAAGGAAGGAAGGAAGGAAGGAAGGAAGGAAGGAAGGAAGGAAGGAAGGAAGGAAGGAAGGAAGGAAGGAAGGAAGGAAGGAAGGAAGGAAGGAAGGAAGGAAGGAAGGAAGGAAGGAAGGAAGGAAGGAAGGAAGGAAGGAAGGAAGGAAGGAAGGAAGGAAGGAAGGAAGGAAGGAAGGAAGGAAGGAAGGAAGGAAGGAAGGAAGGAAGGAAGGAAGGAAGGAAGGAAGGAAGGAAGGAAGGAAGGAAGGAAGGAAGGAAGGAAGGAAGGAAGGAAGGAAGGAAGGAAGGAAGGAAGGAAGGAAGGAAGGAAGGAAGGAAGGAAGGAAGGAAGGAAGGAAGGAAGGAAGGAAGGAAGGAAGGAAGGAAGGAAGGAAGGAAGAAGAGAAAGGAAGGAAGGAAGTGATATTAGTTGTTAATCTACAATGTATACACTTTTATAATATCAGACCTGCAGGTTCGCCCCGGGTATACCCGTGTAGTATTTTGATTTTTTTAAATATACCCGAACCGGGCATAAAATTTTTATTTTAAAAAAAGCATCCCGGGACGGGCCTTGCAAATGGTACCTTCTGCAGGTCTTTGATTTTTATATTAAATCAAATACAATTATGTATATTTATTTTGAGCATAGATAGAAATTAAATTTATTACAAAAAATGTATATTTATAATATACTGCACATATTTATTTTTTTAAGCCTATACTAAAAAAAAATGCAATACAGTATCCAAATTAACCGGAAGTTAAAGGCGGCGCCAATCTTTATTTTCTTTTTAGGGTAGCCTTGAATTTTTATAGTTACATAAACCGGTGGATACTGTAGTAAGTTTATTGATAGAAAAATTTGGTTACAAGTAACTAGCATCAGAGGAGGATAGATGTTATGGCAATTAATTTATGTTATTAATATGGAATTTTTTTTACAAAAAAAAGGGAAACCACAGTCAGGTGACTTTTAAAATTTAAGCCATTTTAAATTTATTTGAAATAGAATGACATATTCGAAATCTAGCAATTTGGTAATTCATTTTCAATCAATTTGTTTCATAGATAATAAACGAAATAAAGTTTACCTTTTAATTTAATAATTTTAATATAAATTTTTTAGAAATAGGAAAAAAAATTAATCTAAAAAAAAATCATAAAAATAAAATATGCCATCTTGCGGAATGAATATCATCGATTTTTATTCCTTCATTTTAATTTATTTTGAATTTAATTATGATAAAATATTTTTACTAAAGAAATTGGAATAACCCATATATAGAATTTTTAAATAAATAAAAAATTATACTGAGTATTATAAATAATTATATATTTTTTTTGATATATTAATTTTAATATAACCAACTATGAAAGCATGGATTCGAACCGAACCCGAACCCGGAGAAGTTAACCCGGGTTTTTAGAAAATAACTCTGAACCCGAACCGTACCTGAACCTCATATATAAAATTTTCAAAACCCCGAACCGAACCCAAGAATTTTATTTGAACCCGGGTTCAACCGGGTTCAGTTATTTAAAATCATATATTAATATATGTAAATACAAATATTATATTTTCAAATTTCCAATTAAATGAAGTATTAATAAATTTTAAACAACTTAATTCATTTATGCCATTTTTAAATTTATTCTCGATTCCTTTTGGAGTGTTAAAAAATTTTAAACAATTGAATTAATTTACGCCATTTATTTTTAAATTTTTATCTTATTAATCTTAAAGATTATTAATTAGAAGAAAATGGTTAACAAATCAAAGTAAAAATTATTATATTGTTAATTTAAAAAATTCTAAACATCTAACTTAAAAATTGTTAAATGTAGGGCAGTTTTTGTAAACTTATTAAAATGATTTTAAAATTTATATATGCTAATCATTTATTTTTGGTTCAGATTAATTTTTACAAGATATTAATGAAGTGCATATTATAAATGAAATTAAATTTATAAATATCTCTTTTTTAATTCTGAAATCATTGCTATTTAAAAAAATTGTTCTCTTTTTATAGATTTAAGATTAAAGATAAAGTCATATTTGATAAGCATTTTACCCTTAATACAATAGAAAAAAAATCAATATGTTCATATTGCAAAGTAAAAATGTCTGGTAATCACTTGTCAAATTTAGAAAGACACCTGGAAAGAAATCACAACAATGAATATTTAAATTATTTAAATGAAAAAACTAAATATCAGGAATTGTTATTGGCAAAAAAACCTAAAATTAATATAGAAACCTTTTTTCCAAAAAAGCATACAAGTATAAATATATCATCTAATGATTTGATGAGTTCTATACTAGAACTTGTTACTGTAAATGGCCGGCCTTTATCAATTATTGAAGATTCGGGATTTCAAAGAATTATAAATCCACTCCTATCTGGGCTCAATTTAGTTATAAACAAAGAAAATTTATCCAGAACTATTAATAAAATAGCCCAATCAATTAGAGACAAAATATCGAGAGAGGTAGAAGGAAAATTAATAAGTTTAAAAGTTGATGCAGTTCAACGACTAGATAGGTCAATTCTTGGTGTAAATATTCAATTTATATCAAAGTCCATTATAAATTTGAGGACTCTTGGAATTGTAGAGCTGAAAGAGAGATGTACAGGAGAATATATAAAAGAGAATATATTAAAAACTTTACTAAAATTTAAAATTAATATTGAATAAATATACACAATTACTTCTGATAATGGTTGTAATTTTTTAAGAGCTATAAAGCTCCTGCAACCTGAAACTGATTATGATATAAGGAGTGAATCAGCAGATGAAGAAAATATGGATGTAAATGTATATAAATATGATATTGATGATATACAAAATACTTTTTTATCAACTATTATATCCTATCCGATTTATAGTGTACGGTGTGCAACTCACACACTTCAGCTGGCACTTCAAGATGCTATAAAATTATCACCTATTGTGGAAACCATTGCAAAAGCTAGGAGCCTAAATTTAAAATTAAGACATCCCACTTACCAAAAGTTATTAAAAAATATGAAACTCCCTAAGCCTGTGTTAGATTGCCACAGATGGCATTCAACCCATGATATGTTAGAAAGGCTGATTTTACTAAAACCCAATATCGAAGATTTTTTTTCAGAGCAATCTGATTATTTATTGACTGAAGATTGGAAAGAGATAATAACGATTGTTGAAATTTTAAAACCGCTAAAAATCGCAACCAAACAATTCCAATCTGAACAGTTAACACTGACAGATTTTTATGCAGCATGGTTAAGATGCTGCATCGAACTGGAAAAAAATCCAAACCATTTTGCTCAATTACTATATTCTTGTCTTAAGAACAGAGAAGAAAGGTTTATAAAGAACGAAATTCTCTTAGCTGCCATATACCTGGACCCAAGATACAAGGTTAATTAAAAGCTTAGTAAATTAATTATTTTAGATTTATATTAAAATTGTTATTTTATGGAATATTTAAATATAAACAATATAAATCCTTAAATATTACAGGTATTACTTAGTGATGATGATAAGATTTGTGCGAAAAGGCATCTTGTCAATTTATGGAGACGAATTAAAAGCTTAACAACGCCGATTTTATCTGATGATATTAGTTCCGATGAAGTTATTGAACAAGAAGATGATT